GATTGGAGCCGTAGTAAATGCGGTCTTCAAGTCTTGAAACGACTTTTCCGCTAGAGGTTCCCATTCCAGCTTATCCTTACACGTCAACCGAGTGAGAGGAGCAGCAACTTGAGAGTAATTCTTAATGAAGATCCGATAGAAGTTGTCAAAATTGAGAAAGCATTGTACGTCTCTAATCGTCTTCGTAACCTCCCAGGACACGATTGCTTCCACCTTCTTGGGGTCCATCTTCAAGCCTTCTGTAGTCGCAATGCACCCCAAAATCTCCATCTCTATTTAGTGAAATAAACACTTCTCCAACTTGGCATATAGTCCTCGCTTGTGTAGTTTCTTCAAGACCAAACGAACGTGCTTTTCATACTCTTCCTCGTTTTTGGAGAATATCGAAATATCATCCAAATAAATGACAACAAAATCGTCAAGGTGCTCTTGGAAAATGTCATTCATCATATGTTGAAAGACCACTGGAGCATTGGTAAGATCAAAGGGCATGACATTATACTCAAAATGGCCATACCTTGTACGGAACGTTGTCTTCCACTGATCTCCTTCCTTGATTCGTACGAGGTTGTAAGCTCCCCTTAGATCAATTTTTGTAAAGATCCTTGCACGTCCAAGTTATTCTAAAAGACCAAAAATCAAGGGTAATGGATAACGATTCTTTTTTGTTACCTTGTTGAGGCCTCGATAGTCCACGCACATCTGCAATGAGCCATCTTTCTTCTTCACAAATAAGATAGGTGTTCCAATTGACGATTTTGAATGACGGATGAAGTTCTTCACTAGATTCTCGTCGATGTACTTCCGCAACTCCGCCAACTCTGTCTGTGATAGATTGTAGATTGGGCCAAAAGGTGGTTGTGCTCCTTCTTGCAAGTCTATGGCGCAATCATATGGCCGGTGTTCTGGTAGCATGTCGGCATTTTTCTTTTGAAACACGTCTTTAAAATCCTTATATTGCTCAGGTATACTTGCTGTCGAGATCTTCTCCCCGGTAGTTGGAGCTGCATAAATGACAAACGGTGTGCCTTCCTTAGACGATCTTATAAACGCTCTTGGTCTAATGAATAAAGATTTCTCTATTCGGGATTTTCTACTAGGCTTACTCTTGGGTGGTTTTGTGGAAAAGATCATCTTCCGCAACCTCTAATCTATAGATGGGTTATGCTTTTCCAACCAAGAAAGACCAAGAATAATAGGATTTGATGGGATTCTAATAATATTAAAAATAATATGACTACTATGGCCCTTAAACATCACTTCTATAGGTTCTGATTTATGGGTGACACTACCAGACAATAAAGGTCGCCCATCTATGACCTCAACGTGAATAGGTTTGGATTTTTGTACGAAAGGGATCTTATGATGCTTCACAAATTCTTTGTCTAAGAAACAAGCAAATGCTTCTGAATCTAATAATGTTAAAGTTCTCAGTTTCTGAGGGCCAATAAGTAAAGGGATTGTAAAGCAAAGGGCAGATTGAGCGGAAAGAAAGGAATCTAGTTGTTGTTGCGATATTTCAATGTCCAGCCGTACAGTTCCTATTGTGGCTGGGCATCCTCGTTTTCCTGAACAAAGGTGCCCCCAGTCTTGACAATACGTTGATTTTGCTTCTTGGGGCAGTTTCCAACTTTGTGACCTTCTTCACCGCAATACAAGCATAGACCTTCCTCCATGCGCCGCTTTTTTTCTTTTAGAGTAAGGGATTTGACACGTACCGCATCAATTTGCAAGTCTTCTACCTCTGAATGTGAATTCACACTGCTTAGTGACATAGTTGGGGCATGGCAAATCGTATGTTGTCTTGAACGTTGGTCTTGGCGGTGTTGGAATAGGCGATTATTACACTTCACAGCTTGGCTAATAGCTTCGTTGAGCGTTTGTGGATCAGGAAGAGTTAACAGTAAATCCTTCACATCGTTCTTTAAACTCCAATAGAATTGACTCATCAACGCTTCTTCGTCCCAATTGATGTCGCATGCTAATTGCCTGAAGTCCGATGCATAGATTGATGTAGAGCGCATGCCTTATCGTAGTGACCAGATCTTTGTTGTAGCCCATCGAACCTTGTCATGTTTACCAATTGTTTTTGCAAACGCCTCCAAAAAGGTTTCAAAGTTGTTTAGTATGGACGATCGTTTCTCAAATAAAGGAGCAAACCATGATAGAGCTTGCCCTGTAAGTAAGGTTCCAACAAGCCCAACACGTGACTCCTCCGTTGGATAGCGTTTGGGCTATAAAATTGTTATCAACCTGATTTGATTGACGAATCCTCGAAACTTGGAACGCGTACTATCAAACTTGTCCGAAAGGCTAACTCGGGACTCCTTATGTTATAGAACTAGCAGTGCTTGTCGAACCTGAGGCAAAGATGTTTCTCTAAGTGCAGAAGTTTGAGGCTGGTGCAACCTAGATTGTGCCATCTCAGATGCTCCATCATTATGAAGCCTTGCCACGACTCCTTCAATCTCTGCAGTTCTTTGCAATAACATAGCGAGGGCATTCATGATAGCATCCAACTTGGAATCTAAACTTTTTGTCATACTAATGTCTTAGCCTCCAGCCATTCTAAGAGAAGGACACAAATGACTCTACAAGAAGACAATATTGGTTTAGAGGAGGGTACTCCGCAACCTCTAAAATGCCTTAAGAGCTTCAAGAAAAGGGGTAATCCACTCTCTCCAAGAAAAATAAGACTCCAATATTGTAACAAAAGAAGTATCAGTTTAGAAGAGGCTAATCCGCAACCTCTAAAATGCTAGTACACTTCCAAGCAGAGGGGTAATCCCCACTCTAACGAGGAAGAAACTAGCTCTGATATTTGAGGTGAGTGAAGTCTCGTCAAATTGTCACGGACACAGAAATACAGGCTCGAGATCTAACAAGAAGTTCAAGAAGAACTGGCAAGAACTAGATTAATCAGATGAATACAAGAACAACACCAAAGAGGTGAGCTAGAGCTCCAAGAGATGTGTTGTCGAGACTGAAGAACTCTTCAGCCTCGATTCCAATATATACTCCTATTTAGGAAGCTTTTCAAGCAACTTCTACCAACTAGGAAGCTTCTAAAAGGTTCCAGAGACTTGCTTCTAGAAGATTCTAGAAACTTGTCTTTAGAAGGTTTTAAAGACTATGTCCCTAACAATAGTCTTCAACCTTTAAAACACAACAATAGAAGTAGGATAATCCACTCACTTCTAAAATAAGATAAAAAAAAATATGTTAGTACTCTTATCAAACTATCAAGGACATGAATCTCAAAAAAGAGAACCCTTAAAACACTCTTGTGTCACTGAAGAGAACTAGAAGATCACTCAAAAGGTAATGTAATATTAATTAGAATGGCTATTGCCAAAAATAAGAAGACTAAAAAGTCTTGAAACAAGACTAAAGTCTAAAACGGCATTGACAAGAGTAAAGAAGGCTTTACTCTTCCCTCCATATATACTCTTAATTAGGAGCTATATAGCAATGTCTTATAAGACCTCCAAAACATGTTGACTTTACTAGCCACATGTTTTAACTTGCAAGGTAAGTTATCTATATATGCACCACATAGTTAGCTTGTTCCACAAGCTACCAACACGTAGTTAACTTGTTGGCCAAGTTTTTGACCTATAAACACATCTAAAGTCAAAATCGCATCTATGAAGCTTTTAGAAAGCTTCACTAAAAGAGTTTATGAAATTAATCTATATTTACCTACTTCTACCTAATCATATAAGTAATTATTGAAATAAATGTATATATTTGTGATACTACCTACAATACAACATAGAGGCATGGAGTGTGTGAACAATAAAAAAGGTTATATTGTAAATTTCCACAGAACAAGGTCATATTGTGAATTTGGAATTGAAATAGGATTATATTGTGAAATTCCTCTTTAATTTATTCTTTTGAAAAATTAAGTATTTAGTATCTTGTGAGCAAGAAGCATTTCAAATATAAAAGAATACATTTATTTTGACTTTGGCTTACAACAACTTACATGTCTTTTTAATAACTTTTTTTTTATGATTTTTTAGAAATTCTTTTGTATTTTTATTCATTTTTCTAAAATTTATGTAAAATTACATTTGAAGAAGAAAATATCATTTTGTATTCAGTCAAATAGTTTTCAGAATTACTACTCATAATTCTAGCAATCCTAGATTGGTTTTGGAACCATGTCCCACACATTCTTCAAGGTCTCTATAAAGTTATCTATTTGTAATTACTATAGACAAAATCATAGAGATTTCTTTATTTATTTTCAAAAATTTCATAAATAAAATTTTCTGAAAAAAAAACACTAAATATTATTTTGTTATGGTGGTGATTCAAATCTATTATAATTGACTTTGCATATGATAATACAAAAAGTGTATGTATTTTTTGAAGCATGAAATTCATTTAGATTTTTGGTCTTGAATATAAAACAAGCTACTAAGTTATATAAGCATTGAATGATTTTTTTATTATTTTATTATTATTATTATTGTTATTAACTAGTTTTGACTTTTTTCTTTTTTTTCTTTCTTTTTTCCTCTTGAGAGGTGTATGATTTCTGGGTATACATTTAACCAGGCAATGTTTTCAAGAATATAATTCCAATACAAGAGTTATACCTAACAAGAATATATATATATATATATATATACTTAAAGGTAGAATGATTACATGATGACTACTTAGCCTGAACATATTGACTTCATGTTGTTTGATTCATTCTCAACAGAAACGGAATCATATAAAAACACCACATTTATATGATTAAATATATAAATGATGATTAAAGTATAAGAATCAGCACCTAAGACAGTCTGAGACAAGTCTCTATTCCTTTAAACCTGGAAATGCTACAATATCTTAAATTTCACCAGAAGCCCTAAACGTTTTTCCCGCAGAGGGGAAAAAGTTCCGAGGGAAAAAAAGTGATGCTGACTCAGATATGGCGCGAACCACATTCCCGCGAGATTTTGAGCCGTCTTTTTTTCTTCCCGTTGAAAGATGCTTTCAGTTCGAAGACGCTGCATTTCGCGTGCCATCTCTCTCTCGTTGAGGGTTTGCTTTGAATTTGGAGCTGCGATCGTCGACAGTTGGAGCGATCTGTGGAGTCCTTCTCTTTCTTAATCATTCCTTTAAGAATTGGGGGCGCGTGACTTTCTTTTCGGTTACAGAGGGCTTCGTAGTTGATTGTTGCTGCATCAGTGGTTAGCGAAGTTTGTCGAACGAGAAGGGAATCGAAGGTTGGATTCGAGGTTGGGTTCATATGGACAATTGGCATTGTTGAGATATTGATATTTTTTGCGTCTTGTTTCTGATGAGAATCGCATCTCAGGTCTATTGCGAGGTAAATGTAGTTGAATTGAATCTTGAGGTTTTATGAAGACGGTTGGGAGATCTCTGTTCGTGAGATGGATGCTGGTGAGGGGGAGGATTATGGACGTGATCAATTTTGCGTAATTGCAGCACCTCAGTTGAGTTCAGGTGGCGTGAAGTGTAGAAAGAACTCGAAGGTTGCTTCAAAATCCTACACCAGTATGGTGAATAAGACGAAGGTCGGCGCCAATGTGGAAGTAGGCAAGGGTGTAGACGCGGAGGAGAAGAGCAAGGATGATCGTGACCAGGTATCGCTTGTGTTATAACTTCGCCACCCGCTCTGTTTCAATTCACTATAGTTGTTTGTGGTGATTATTAACGCTCTGCCGCATGAAATTGCAATGTGAGCTTCGCACGGGTGTGCACCTACATCTCAACTGATTTGCAAAGTGAAGGAGGTGTTTGAAATCGATCATCCCGGTTGGGCCAAACGCTTGTGTGTAATGGCAGTTGAATGAAATCAGAAGATAGGTATTTCACTGAGATGCATATATCAATTCGCATCACATGCAGGGTTGTAGAAGGTACAGTGCATGCGTCGAGAAGTGCGCCACTTTTAAATTTCGACTATTTTGAGGATAGATGCTACTGGTGGAACGTGTATGCATACACCTCTGCTTTCGTGCCTCTTTAAACTGGTACTAATTTATAAATGAATTCTGCTTGTTTATGGAATCGTGAATTGTCGTAGGAATCCACAATGCCGTCCAAATTGGCAACTGTTTTCGTGAAGAGGTCATCTAGAAAGAACGCGAAAGTGGGGCAAGCTCAGAAAAGGGAGCTGGATAATTTACCTCTTGCTCTGGATACGCCACCTCAGGAGTCAGGTACGAATTTCTCTCTTGGTAGCAAGCTCATTAGACCCATATCCCTGGTTATTTATTCACTTTTTTAGTCATCTGAACTCTGTTAAATTTTGAGTATGTAGAGCCTCCATACAGCTCATGTGATTTCTGCCACTGAGGGTTGCCCTCGTGATATCAAGTTTTTTTTCAACCTCGGAGATTCAGCTCGACCTTCATATATTTCCTATTTGCATGGCATCTGATCCGAACATATCTTCTAAAGACGGTTAATTTGTTCTTAGTGACAAAACAGAAAGCGGCTCCCTCATCCACTGGAAGGCAATCTAATGCCTCTCGGAAACATTCACCTACTAAGAGACAAACTAGGTCGTCAGCGGCGACGAAGAAACGGAAGTCACAACAGCATGGGACTGATAGCAGGTCTGCTGCTGAAGTTCATGGTTCTGACCTCTTTCTTCAAGCTAGGCTTGCAGCTGAGGTAAAGCGTCGGAGTAGGATCTCGATTACTTCATCAATTTTCATATGTTTTTTATAAAATTAATTAAGTAATGTGTGTGTGTTGTTTGTGACGTTGGCAAAATCCATCTACTTTGGCTACTATAAACTGCGCATGTATTGCAATCGTGCAATGAAGCCTTCTTTGATATGTAGAAATACTTATACTTATTCTCTTGTGTTAAATTTTGTTTCTTTCTGATCTTATCTGCAGGAGAATACAAGGTTAAGTGCAGGCAAAGCAACACACCCCTTCTTTGCTCGCCCAAACGAGGGTGGTGCAAGATCTTCTGTGATAAAAGAGCCAGCGCAGACGATAAGATGTCGAAGTCTTAATCCAGCACCAGAGCATGCTGAGGTATGGACTATGGCTCCGTCAGATTTTGCTTGGTGAAGGTTTGTTCTTAGACTCTAGGGATCGCTCCGGGAATAGTTCGGCTTCGTGACGAGAACTTAGCGGTTGTTAACATAGTGCTTTAGTTTGAAGTTATTGGCATTCGTTAATCTGATTTGGGAATGTGATACCATATTTGTTCAGCGACACATGCTGTGCAATGATTAACTTGTGAATGAAGCAGTCGCCTAATACATGCTACGTAATTGTCTAAAACGAGATTTCAAACTTTTATCTAATTAGTCATTGATGCGGGGTATTGTACGGTACTACATGTTTCCTACATTGAAAAATTCCTAGGATAGATGTTCGGACTTAGGCGCATCGAGGCTTTTTATTACCTACTATATTTGTTTCAGTTTTTGTTGTGATCTGCAGACGAATCTTCAAGTGAGCCCCCGTAATCCCCTGCACCCCTTTGTCGCTCGTCAAAATCTGCGAGGTGCAAAAGCTATTATAGCTGATGAAGCCCCGGACAATTGTGAAAGGCACAGTCAGCTTCCTTGTCCGCCTTTACACATAACCCAGAACATGCCCGTAAGGTCCATAGCCTCATGCTTTGTTGTTTGCAGTAATTTGCTGAATCTGTGAAATCACACTGAGTTGTGGACACTCCGTGCAATAGATATATTCGCTTACAAATGAGTTGTGGTTTGAGGAATGTGAAGGAGGAAGAGACACTACCAACATGGAATTGGAACTGGAAATGTTCTGGGGTGCCTGTTAAAGCTGGTGAGAAAATTGAAGACAAGTGGTCGTTCTCATGCTGCCAGCCTTCATATACATGGAGTTGGTCGACTTCAAAGAAGCGGAAAAGGCGTGGACAGCCCATCCCAAAGGTTGCTGTCTTTGGCCGAATTATTGATTACTTAACGGTACATGCTTTACCAGTAGGTCCAATTAGATGATCATTTCCGCATTCCAAGACTTGAAATGACAGCTCCCTTGAGGATCCTGTGATAGATTTTGTTTTGTTTTGTTTTGTTTTGTTTTTTTTATTTTTTTTATCCTACTGTGGGCATTATATTTTGCATCAGCTGCTTTGTCATGAATTAATGAAGAATATTCAAGCGTTTCATTATTTGAACCCATTCTGGATGAAGAGTCTTTTGGATACCTGTGGTGAACAGAATTTTAACATCATAAAATGCCGAAAGGGCTTCCGGAATGTTAGAATTTGGAATTCTATTTCTCTATGCTGAATAGGCTGTTACCATGCTCGCAGAATTATAACGCAGGTACAAAGTGCTTGTTTGATGAGGAAGTGGATTCTGTGGCTGCCAGAACTCAAAAGCTGGTGGAAAAGTGAGTATTGTTTTCGATTATCACAAGTGTAGATCAGGTTGGTTTTTTAGCATATTACTCTGTATCTTGTAATAAGTCGGTACAGTTTTTCACGCTGTGGGCATACTGGCGCCTCAAACTCATTGACAAAAAAAATGTAAGCGGTTGACACAAATTGTGCTACCAGGAGCCGTGACTACGTAGATCATGCAGTTTATTTATTCAGTGTTACCAGCTGTCCCAGTTCTAGATTTAAACCTGATGTTGAGCTGTAATGTGTGTGGAATTGGGATTAACTCAGCACTTGTCTTTTTGCAGGTTCTCGTCGTACTATCATCCTTGTGTAAATAATGATTGTTTCGAACAGAATTTAGAGTTACGACCCGTGACTGAACGCCGAGTGAAAGATGTCAGTGGAGGTGGGAATTCGTTATGGACTAACCAGTATCAACCTCGTAACTCGCAAGAGGTGATTAATCTCATGCCACCATTGTCCGTACTCCAATTTTTGCATCCGATTGTCCCTTGAGTTAGAGTTGCGAGTGCGTTCAGTAAGCTTCACGTTCTTTGTTATCATACTGAAGTGATGGGTGTTTCGTGATTCCCGGGAACAGTCGCAACCTGGAGAAAGTACTTAGAAATTTGTTGCTCTTTGAACAGGGTTTATATATTTATTATTATTAATATATATATATATATATATATATATATATATATATATATATATATATATTATTTACCGTCTCCAACACAATGCAGCATTTAATTTTGATAAATCTCTTTGCTACTTATAACCAAGATTTATAAGGTTAACAGGATTTTGTTTTCTTCAAATTAGTAGAATAGCTAAACTTAGCTCAGAACAACCCCGTCTCTAATTTAAGCTTTGCTGATCCAAGTTTCGAGCAGTCAGATAACCTTTAAATAAAGCATAAAGGATCTGTGTGCTTCAGGTTTGTGGAAACAAGGAACCGGTCAGGGCCCTAAGCTCGTGGCTTCAGAACTGGAGAGAAAAGATTCTTCGACATAATGGTGCAGTGAAAAGTGAAGAAGTTGAAGATAGTTCCAATGACGATGACAGTGAGTATGAAGATTCAGCATCTGAAATTGATGACAGTGATGACTTGCATAATTGTCTCCTTGTGACAGGATCTGTCGGGGTGAGTATACTCAAAGCGTGACTGCTGAGATGTTTCTGAATGTTGAGCTCTGTACTATGGTTCTAAAGCTAGAACTGTGTAGATGGTATGCTTTGTTGCATGTTAGAGTTCAGTCGTTAGACGAATTTTCAATCACCTATTTCACGTCATAAACCCTCAAGGCCAAACGTATCAGAGCATGGATTAATACAGGTTACCTGCATGGAATGCAGTGTGGTAAATCTGCAGCTATTTATGCGTGTGCCATGGAGCATGGCTTTACCGTCATTGAGGTACGTGCTTCAGTAGCCGAAACGTTTCATGTTTTTTATATGTTTTTAAAAAGGTTTTAGATAGTCATTATGTGATAAGGTTTTGATCCCAAATGACTGACTCTAGTGAGCGTTGTTTCTTATTGTTGGTATCTTGCTTGTTTTGTGGACCAGGCTGACTATTTTGACAATGTTTTTTCTTAGGTCAGTGGTGGTTGTCCTAAAGCTTGTATCAGTTGCAATCGTTCGATAGTTGGTTATTCATGTTGTGATGCATTTCCTTATGGTTCATACAATGCTTGCAATCATAACCCAAGTATACAGTCAATGGGAAGGGTTTGGTGTTTACTGAGCAGTTCAACTTGAGGAATCAGTTAAACCTCTTCGAATTTGTGGATCTAGGTCAATGCATCAGAATGTCGGAGTGGAGCAATGGTGAAGCACAAGTTTAAAGAGGCCATGGAATCTCATGGTCTGAGCAAGGGGTCTGTGATATTCATTCCGCTCCAAACATCTGACAAATATCTGGTTGAATACGTTCATTTTTGTGTTCGTTTAGACCACTGATTACAAGATTCTGGGTTAGAGAGGGAATGTACTAACGCATTGACTTACTCTTTGCAGGTTCTCAACTGCTTCAATGGATCCTAATCATGGATCGTTCGCTGTTGATCTATTGTCGAAACAAGGAGAGGGTTGTGGGAGAAGTACTTCCCTTCAGCATAAGTCCGAAAACCAGCTGTCTAAACACCATAGTGTCTTTCGAAGCAATCTGCCTCCTCCCTTTTTTCGGGGGTTAAGAGTAATTCTTTTTGAAGATGTGGACATTGTATTTGAGGAAGATTCCGGGTTTTCTGGAGCACTGGCGTTGCTGGCCAGAACCTCCAAATGTCCAATCATATTTAGCAGCAACAGTAAGACACTTTTTGTAGAATGCATATTTATCAATCCTTCATTTAGTCATCTCTAATTCGAAGTTTTGTAAACGAAAAGTTACTGTATAGGAAACTTCGCCAGCATGACTCCAAAGTTCTGCTAAAAGATTTCCACATATGCTTGTGACCAGGTCAAAATCCAGTGCTGCCAAATGTCTCTCCAGAAGTTATCAGATTTGAGCAACCGTCGACGGGTGAACTGGTCGCACACGCGTACATGGTGAAATGAACATACATTGGCATACCACATTTCGTTGAACTTTCGAACAGCATTAGCATACTATATTCCTAGTCCTTGTCCATTTCGATATTAAATACTTTCTTAATTGGAAGAGTTACATCTTATATGTATGATTAGCTTTCTCCTTTTGGTACCACTTTAGTGCGCCTCCCATCTGTCTTGTGTTAACAAATTGTGTAACATTTTGAATGCAGGTCTTTATGTCGGAAGGATTGACTTGCAGCCCAGATACAGTCGAACATATTGTGAGAAGTAGTGGTCGCGACATTCGCAAACTTCTCATGCTACTTCAATTCTGGAGTCAGGGATCTACTTCCGACGCTGAACATTTGAAGGGTGTCAGTACCGTCGGGGATTTAAGGATCTCGCATATTAACATGCAAAGTCCTAATTTGGTTAGTTGCTTGTTGCAGTTGGATGGCTGTCCCCAATTCCCTGCCTCAAGAATACATGCAGCTAGCATGCTGGCTGATGAGCATACCAGTAACGATTCTGAAGAAGTTTGTCATGGAAAGAAATTAAGAACTGAATCCATTTGTAAAGACCATGTCTCAAGGAAAAGATTTGACAGACGATCTTTGGATTCGGACTTGCTATATGCACATGATTGTCAACATCGTGTGCTCCCTTTACTCTTTCCGGATACTGAAGCATGCCAGCTGACAGTCATGGTTTTTAAACGCCTGAAAGATGCTGGCCAGGACATCATGATGATGATCGACTATTTTGTTAGCAAATGGTCGCGTATTAGATTTGACGTGCTGAAAAGCAAATCGGAGACCGAATTCCGGGTACTCAATTCTGAGAGAAACTTACACTCTGCAGCTCGTAAAGAAGATGGAAAATTGTGTTCTAGAGGTGGTAGTAACAAATGCATGGCGAACATGATATCTTTATTGCAGGAGAATGAGCGCAGTTGTTCAGGGGAGCGTGAAGATTATTTTATATCTGCAGGTTCGTCGGATGACCATGACATGTGCGATGTGCACCTAACTAGCGAACCCAGTGACGGCATTGATCTTGAGGACGACGAATGGATAAGATTTCTTCCTGTCTTAAATATGAACACTTTAAGTTCAACCAAGACCGAATGGATACCCCGTAGACGTAAATGCTCCCCTGCATCACAAGCCAGTAGGAGCCCCTCAAGTATGGCTGGTTTGGGTGTAGTTTCTTCCCCTCTAAGTGTAGATATTTCGGCTGTTACAGCTGAAGCTTACTCTCAGACCACTAATTTGGCTTTAGAAGGCAGTTTTCCTTTACGACTTGGAAGGGTCGACGCACACACACCAGTAGAAGAGGTGGCATTAAATCTGACTCCAAATTCAGGTGGGAACCTTGCGATGCATCCTGTTTTGAAAACCCCCTCTGATTTGGGCAAACAGTCTTATAGCTACGGCGCTAGTCTCGAGCATTTTATTCTCAGCGTAGCACATTTTATGATGGAGAAGACATGGTCAGAAGTGAGAAGTCTGCAGCCGGAAACATTTCCAAGTAATAATTTGGACTCCACTACCCTGTTAGACGACGTTCTGCATGATTTGTCTGCATGTGATCTTTTATCAAGACGAGCCGCTGTAGCATCCAAGGTAATTATTCTTTTCACAATTTGACTGAGTCTTAAGTATTTTTACTTATGTACTTTTATATATTTTAACGAAGTCCTGATTAGAGTCGCTCTGGTTAATATTTGGCAATGAACTAAAGATTGCAGCGTCCATATTAACTCCTGTTTTGAATTGCCTCGTCTCACTACCTTAATCACTTTATCTTCATCATCTATGCTCTGCAAATCAAATCGTGTAGCACATGTAATTGAACTCTTTCAAGAAGGTTTCTCAACACATTATTCGTGCAGAGTTGATTAGAATCGTGATGTCTGAAGTTCTTGTTAGTGATATCCGTGAAATTCTTCGGTCTGGGCTTTGTGGTTTTGAGTCTAGATTTTTTTGGTGCATCATTTACAGACGTTTAAAGGTTATCGGATATCAGACTGCGATGATTGTGACGAGTATGACAGTGGCGATAGGTGTAGAGAATCGGCGGTGGTGCTTGCACAACTGCGGTTAAATCAAGCCTTAGGTCAAGCTACACCATCAAATATCCTCTTTTCTGAAACTTGGCGAGCCCGTCCATCTACTTCTGATCAAGATGCTGCCAGGTGCTTTGGAGCATTCCATGAATCATTGTGGCTTTGAGAACCATCTGTGTCTTATTTGGCAGCTTGACTTGCCCTTGAATAAGAATGTGCTCTCAAGCGCCAAGTTTTTACCTGCTTGTCACTATTCCAGTACATATTATATTGCAGTAAATACTTCCGCACTCGGAGTGTACTAAGAGATTTGTTTTTGTACTACAGGGAAGAGAAGCGAGCGTATGAGGACGAATGTGTAGACCTACTTCTACCGCAGCGGTGTATGCTCTCCGGAAGATTAGCCAGATTAGATTACATTTCATTTCATTCTCAACTCACCTCTTCTACAGCCGGTTCTGAAGTTCAAATAAGACGCACAACGAGACAACGCAAGCCTATAACTGTTTCAAACTAGCCGCTTTGAATACAGCCGACAACCTTCAATCGCTGACACTTGACTGCAAACCTCCCACGAGCCTTCTCACAACTTCTCGAGTGATCATTTCGAAACCGCTGTAGAGCCCGTAGTTCTTTGTAAATGATAACCCGTTACTTCGACGTATCATGTGTAGCATAGTTTAAACGCCCGGGTAGATTTCCTTGTGTGTGATCGGTTTTACAGAGGTGTTTCCTACTCCGCATTATGTCTCTCGGTCGTATTCGTTCTACCAGGCTGTCACAGCGGTTTACAGGATCGGGCTAACCATGGCAGAGCCACTTGGAGCTGGTTCATCTGTGTCTTTTATATCTTCGTCGTTTTGTATATAACCAATCTACATCACTCATGATCTGCCTGAATCTGTAAATCGTAGTAGTGGGTTTTGGGCATTGTCAACACAAGGGAATCAATCCTAGCGATTACTGCCATAGATATTCTCTGAAGTTTTCCAGAACCGACTCATTGTTCGTCTGGAGCAGACAACCGGTCAAATTGTGTTCAGGAATCAACGCAGATTGCAAATCAGGTACAGTATGAGCTCATACTGTACCTGTATGAGTACCTCTTGTTGGTATGCTTTCTGATCTATTGGGTGAAAGAAGCGTAAGCGTCTGATCGGAAAGGAATATTCGGTGCTGAGGTTGGTTGCAGATGCCTTTGCTTGGAGATACATACTTATAACTCATGTTCATCTTGAAGTATTAGTCCATTTAGAAGAGTTTTGACATTCCATCAACTTCAGCTCCATTTCATATGACCTGTGATTCTATCGGGCATCCTTAGTTAATTCCAATGTTTAAGAAAATATGTTTCTTTTGGATTACATTAATTTTTTTGATTGAATTTGGTTTCACATGGTCCTTTTTTCATTATTATTTGACCATATTTTTTTATTTGTATTGATGTGTTTTTGTTCTAATTTTTTTTTTCTAAAGAATGGTTTGAAATTAGGAAGTGTTGATATAGTTTAGAAAAAAAAATAGTTTGAATTAATATTCAAGTTATATATAAATCTTAATGTCATAGAAGTAGTTTTGTATTCAAAATTGGTTGAGCCTACTTAATTGAATATTATTGTCTACAATTGTGGATGTTGAAGACATATTTAATAATTTTGAAGTGTGCCAAATGTCATTTTTAGTCACTTTGGACAATAAGGCAAATCTTTGTTAAGTTGCTATATTTGATTCAGTTTTCAACTTTCTTTTTTTTTTTTTTTTTTTTTTGTAAAAAAAAAAAAAAAAAAAAAAATTGTCCTTGCTTTTATTTTTATTCTAATTTGCTACATGATAGTTTTTACAACACTATTGATTTTTGTATGTCTTTAGAGAAGATTTGAAAAAGATTATCTTTTATTTACAAAGGCAAAATCATAATTAAAACTTTTTGTATTTAAGCAATTAAAGGCATTGTTGACCATAGAATCTTAAAAAAAAAAGAAATAGATGTAAAAAGATGAAAATTTGAAAAGAAAAAAATATCTTAAGTAATTTGGCAACCAACTTGAATGCCTCATAGTAGCAAATGAGTTACTAAATCTACAACTTTATGTTCTTTAGCCATTGGTACTTGCTATAATCTATAGTAAGGTAGAATAAATGTTACTTCATTATGTGTAGATTTTGAAAAGAAGCAATTCTAGTTGAAATTGTTTTTCAAAAGCGACAATTAGGAAATGTTAGCTCTTTGTAATTGTTGTTTTTTGTAGTAGAAAATTTAACTAGGAAGAAAACAAATGAATAAAAGAAACCTTTATGGCATACAATTACAACCAAATTTTTTAAGATAGCAAATACTAGAATAATCATAGAATCGAAAATTAAGAACAAGGATCTAAAAAATATATATTTAATTCAAAATTTAGAATTTGCAAAATGAAATGATAAAAAAATACATAAATACTTAGAAAATTTTTAATTAAAGAATCTTTGTAGGAATCAATGTACTAAATAAACTTACATCTATAAATTGAAAAAGAAATTAAAAAGAATTTTTAATACACCTTTTTCTAAAAGTAACCATGACATCTATAGAAGAATCACAAGAATCAAAAAGAAGAGAAATTGAAAGGTGAAAGATATAGCAAAAGGATTTAGAAGAAGAAGAAATTAATTTGTTAAAAAAATACAATAATAGAAAGTAATTGCTAAACCTACCATGCTCAAAGAAGGTACATAAAAGAGATAATCTTAAGGAACTTAGATACTTATTCTAGCATCATCTAATTGCTATTCTAGGATGCAAAGAGATAGCATTTTGGAATGATGCCATTGATGTAAGATATAGTGAAAGTAATCTGAGCATAACATGAGGCCATAAAAATGTAGAAAATAAAAAGGCAATAAATTGTATTTAAAAGAAGAGCTCAAAGGTGAAAAATGTGCTAAGAAAGGATGCCTTGTTGATTGAAACACCTTAACCAATGTGTAAGAAGGGCAAAGCAATATAATAAAATAATTACAAAGTTAATAAGTTAGAGCAACAAACTTTAGTGGCTCCAATAGAAGAATTTCATGCCTAAGAGCTATTATTAGTTGATATGTATCTACATACAGCTACAATTTTATTGCACAAACTAGAAGCCACAAGCTTGATATTAAAGCTTTATATATAAGAAAGCATGAAGAAGATTGGTGGCTTCCAATCTTAATCCAACTACATTAGTCGAAGAAGAAAATACAACATTTTTTCTTATAAAATAAAATAAAAAATAAAAAATTATAGAAGAAATTTTCTTATAATATTGGTAGCAACCTTGGAGCAAGGTGTAATAGAAACAAACAAAAGAAAAGAGAGTCTACAAAGGACTACAATCATGAGAGATTTTTTCTTAAAAAAATATCAAGACTTCTTTGGTTTTGCATGAATGCACAATATACATGCAAGGAGTTAATGTGATAGATCAACTACATGCATTGTATAGTGCTCAAGTAAGAAGCTACAAGTGGTGGCATCATATTTTTATTTTTTTTAGCTTTGGCTATGATAAATGTATATATAATCTACTTAAAATGCTGGAACAATGTACCTTATGGCCAAAAGCAAAGAACACCAATGATCCATTTATAATTTAAAACTGAAATATGTGAAACTCTTTTTTAAGGTTGAAAGATAAAATAAAATATAAGGCTAAAATATGTGAAGTATGTTGATTTTTTTATATTATTTTATGTGTATTTGATGAATTTTTTTCTAAATTTTAGGTTTTGTAAATTGAACAAGCCTTGGTTGAAGCACCTACAAATAAATTTTTAATTCTTATGATTTTCTTTTATTTTTCATAAACATAATATGTTTTCTTTCTTTTTTTTTTCAAATTTATCTTTTTTATTTTTTTCTTCTTTTTTATATTTTGTAGTTACTTTTATATTTTTTCTTTTTTAAAATAATTTTTAATATATTATATTATATTATTTTTATTTATATTTTCTATTATATGTCTATTTTCTAAAATTATAAGTAATTATATTAATTGATTTAATATAATAGATTGTTAGCATTATAGAACATATTTTATATATCTATTTCAATTAATTTTTAGTTTTTTGAATTTGATGAAAAAAAAGTTTAAAAACTATATGTATTTCAATATCTTAGTGGTTTTGAAAAATTCAATTAAAGATAAGATCTAGGATGGAGCTTCAAGGTAGCAGAAGTGGAGGCTAGGATAGAACATGTGGAAGCCAAGGTGAGACATATTCAAGCCAAAGTTAGAAATATAGGACCTTGTGCTCAAAACTTGAGGACAACTTTGAATAAGATTCTACAAGTCCAACCGAGGAGCGTGTGAACTTAGTATGGGACCTTAGAAGCCCATATGGGAGATTATTACAAAACAAGAGGAAGAGAGGGAAGGGGGAGAGAGGGAGAGGAGAGGGGAGAGAAAGAAGAAGGGAGAGTATAATAAAGGAGCTCATGATAGTATTGTGTTGTAATATAATTATATAGTGAAAGATAAAAACATAGATTCTATTATAGAAGAGCCTAATTAAAAAAATATAGTAACAAAACATGGATAAATGATAGAGAGGTAGTTAAAAAATTTAGTATTAATATTGCTTTTAAAATAAAATAAAATAAAACTTCTACTTGCTTTATATGATCATAAATAAGGCAAAATAAAATAGATTATAAAAATAAATAATATAAGTATTTTAAAGAGATGTTTAAGGATAGTTTGTAGCAAAAATTACCTTGAGAGACCAAAAATTGATACATGAATAGGACCATTAGTGAACTAATATTAAAATTAGATTCTAAGGCATAAAACCACACACTTATGGTATTTTTAGGGTTTTTTTATTGATTGGAGAACAAGATTATATAAGAAAATAAGAGAAGGATTCTTAAAGTTCTTGTTTTAAGTGATTTTAATTCTTAATAAATTTGCAAAAGCTTTGCAAAGTTAGGGTTGTTTTGAAGTACTTTTGGTTTTTGAAAATAAAAAGGATATATATTTTGGAGAATTTTATAAGATTTGTAGTAGATCTAAAAATAAATATTTGTGAGTTTATAATCAAAATTATATCAAATATGCATTATAAGTTTGAACTTAATCAAACAATTAATTTCAAGGTTATTAAAACCTAAGTAGGTTGGATTCTTAGAAATTAGAATTTGAAGGATTAGCAAGGGTTTCTTAGATTTATAGAAAATAGATTAAATAGATTGAAATATTGCATACTTGTAGCAGACTTGTGTAAATTATAGAGTAATTATATAGTAAAATCAAGAAATATTGGCTTTAAAAGATCGGCCTTAAGGTTGAAAAAAGAGGCCAAGAAATATCCAAGTGGATAATGAGGTTTATCTCTCATTTGGTAAGTTTGATTCTCTTCAAATTGTACTTTCTTGTTGCCAACTAAGTAATTGAGGATTATGCAAATTTTAAATTAAAATCAATAATAAAATTATTAATTATTAAGGTTTTAATTTTTTATAAGATTTTATTAGGATTTTATTCGATTTTGATTGTAATTTATCCAAAGTATATTAAATATTTTTTAGGAATTATTTTAAAATTAATTAGAATATAATAATATTTTTCTAAGATTTTTTAAAATTTTAAAAAATATATTTAAAATAACTATAAGCTTATTTGTGTTGTTCAAGGATGCCAAAAGGATATTTCTAAATATCTCATGTATTATTTTGGGTGATAAATTAAACTTCAAGGTAAGTTCAAATACTTTTATAGCCAAATGCCAAATATATTTCTAGATTAGTTTTCAATTAATATAACAACAAGGTCTTTGAAACTAGGACAGAGGATTGTTATAGCACAAGAAAAGACTAGTAGTAAGAAAGCTCAAGGTAGAACTCTTGGAGTTCCAGAAAGAATTGTTACAAAAACTAGGGCAAGGAAGAGAATAAAAGATAGTACTAAAGAAGGTTAAGATAGAACCTTTAGAGCCTAAGTGGAAGATTGATACAACACATGTAAGGCTAGTACTAACTAAACTAAAACCAAGAGTAAGGAAGCCCGAGCATATCATTGTTATAATGAAGGTGGAGCCAATTGTGAAGATATTGTCAAGTTGTGGAACTTTTATATTAGTTGCTCTTGCAATTGGTATAACTTTTAATGTACGGGTTATATATTTTAAGACCAATTAAAATGATCTACTATAGAATTAAGGATGTTTGCCTTGTTGGCAAAAGAGACCATGTATTACAAAGCTATCAAGTACAGTTTAGATATACTAGTCATGTATAATCTTCTAAAATCCATATTAATCCTTTTCAAAAAATTATAGATGTTTTTTTCCTTCTTTCTAAAGCATGTAAAAGTGTTTCACTAACCATCCATTTTTTGAGTAAAGTTTTGTTTGAAAATAGTATGATTTTTTTTTTAAAAAAAATTGTTATTAGTTTTTCCAATATGTACTTGAAAATAATTTAGAGGAAGGTGATGTACACATATTTGGCAGTTTGGAAGACAAGATAACACAAGGAACTTTAGGGGTTAAAACTTATACAAATTAGAATTTTGCTCTAGCTCACTTAACCCAAATATACTTCTGGAATATCACCCACATGGTGACGCTAATCTACACTTCTCAATGTGAAGATCCTTATGTTTCCAGCAACATCAGTAATTTTGGAGACTTATGTAAACCCACAAAACTTTGATTGCTTTACTCACATTAAAAGGTAAGCAAAACTCTCCTAAATGCATCTCAATGTGAATTGCCATGTGATGTCTTAGCAAATCCTTTTTGCATTTAATTCTCTTCTTTCAGAGATTTTTAACAGCATCTCATCTTCTACCAACCCAGTCTGTTATTAATGTAGACAAGTCCAAGAACAGTCAAACCGAGGATGTTAGATTTCAGGAACAGTCCCCATATAAATGAACGTCCATATCATCACATTCCGTATTCTTATTGTTGTGCGACAAACTTTTCACAAAATTCTTGTTCACTGTAATTAATTTGAGACGCATGATTCTGGTATCTTCTACACCACTATGTCAAACACCTTTTTCTGAGACTAATGACCCTTTTCATCATTTAGTTGACATTCTGATTTGATCAATGATCAATCCATCAAATCACATTAAAACTCTCAGTGTTGAACGACTGTAAATTTCAACTTTCAACACGATTTTGTGGTTTCATGTAATGTTGATTTTCAGCTTGTGTTTAAGAATCCATACTAATGAAGAAAATCAAGAGCGTGCGCATTAGAGACTCAAAATGTACACGCTGTTTTACTAACAGGTTGTGTTTTTTTGGTTTGTTTTGGTTTTCGGTATGTATTTGAATTCAGTCATTTTTTAAGTGTTCTGGGTTCCTTCTCCAATTCAAAACACAATCCTCTGGCATCGTTTTGGGTAGAATATGTCACATCCAGGTCTAGCAATCCTGTGCCCCAACCGATAGGGTCATCACAGTGACACTGCGTCTGCTGCCGACAAAACCAGTGCTTGCGTTTCCAAGCAACCGAATTCAACGACTGTGCAGCTAGTTTGGGAATGTTCACGGAGCTTAAAGTGAGACATCACTCTCCGCGACCCTTCACATATTCCTGAAAAACCGTTCTGTGATAGACGTTACCTGTGAAGCAGGTGATTCCCCCCCCCTTCAATGACTAATATGTTAAATTACGTATTTCTCGGTATTGTGGTCAATTCTCTGACGGCTTCAACTCGTGGACTACCACGAAATCATATGAAAAGTAAAGCGATCTAGATTTTTTGGCGAGTTTCTTCGAAGTACCGGTCACCTGTTTCACGTTCCGCTAAGTACGCTGAACCCACAAATGGCTCAATCATTGGCATCGCAAGTATCTCATTGATCTCGCGATTGCTGGATCGTCTTACTTCGAAGTAGGATCACAACAAGCTGCCAATCCGTGGAAGAAAGCAAAACAATCAAGCAATTAACATCCAGAGTATGCACAACACTGGGGTCCAGACACAGATGCACTCGGGAAACGAGCTGTCCGTGGGCACCGATCGGTCAATACCCAGTCTCCGCCTGTTACTGAAAAAAAGAAAAAAAGAAAAAAAAACTAAATTTCAAAGAGAATACCTTTTTCTGAGATACTAGTTCAGTGGTGGTACTGACGTTCCTGAGCGAGACGATGAAAGAATTTGATGGGAGTCGAAACAGCGAAGGTAAAATAGCGGTGTGAATGGGTGCCCGTGTAGTATCTTCCACATCCTTTCTGTTTATTCTTTCTAAAAAAAAGGGGAGTGTTTGTGGCTTGTCCACACCCTGAAGTGTGAGGACCACTCCAGTGTTGCTTTAAAAGGACTCCACCTGCATCGCCCCAAATCATGGGCATGGCCTTACCCTAAACGTTGGTGTCACTTCGAGAAAGGTAAGAAATTCCACACTCCCCCACAGGCAGAAAAGAAACGGAAAAAAAGCTGGCGTGGTAGGATTTTGTGGCTTCAACAAGGTCGATGTCATGGCACGGGAGGGAAAAATCTTGTACATAACGTGGTCATAAGGTCGACAGTGTGCGTGGTGATGACCGCAACTGGAGTTTGGGGTAGGGAGGAGTGTGAAGCGCTAATCTGGTGGAGTTAAATGGTTTTTGTAGCAGGGGTTGTGTTCGGAGGGATCTGGGGTTTGGCGGTTTCATCGGTGGTCAACATGAAGTGGTGCCATGCTCCATAGTCTTGTGGAGCCGGTGAGTTCAAGGGTTTGGGTGCTTCTGAGCACCGCTGAGACGAGGCACGTAGGAGAATGGCTGTGCTCGGGCCGTCACCCTCTGTGATCAGTACGAACTCGAGCTGAATTGGCTCTTCTCAGTAACCAATTTTGGGCTCGTGATTGTTCCTTTGTGAAATATTAGTCGACTTGAAGGTGATCCCTTTTGCCTAGGTTCTCCGTTGTTCTCTGAGTGTTGTTTTTGTCGGTCGCATTTCGGTGTAAGGTCTTGCCTTGTGATTCTCATCTCTTTTCACATGTGTGTAGATTAAGATTGAGTTACTGCCATTCTTGCGAGCGAATCTGATGTACATGCTTCAAATTAGAATTCTCTGAGTGAGTTTGTCATCTGGTTGTTATTATCGTGATGTGGACCATATGGTGCTCCTAAATTGCAAGGATTTTAAGTAATCGCGAATTTGATTGTGGATTTCTGTTTTAAGCCTGTGTTTTGCGTGAAGATCTTGCCCCCATCCGGTTTTTCATGGTTTAATTCTACTGCATAATTTGGAAGGAATTGCTGCACAGCGTCTTTGTATTTAATGTCGGTATTTATGCTCACCTGATTAATGGATGGGCGAAGTGGACGTTGAAACAAAATAAAGACTTCAGTAACCCTGTTGATTCGTCAGTGCACCCGATAACTCAAGTCAAGTTTTAGGTTAATGTGTGTTTTCAATTTTGCATTCACATTTCAGGCTTTTTCGTTGGTTGCGGTCTGTTGAATCTGCATTACTTCTCTTGAATACAGATATCATTTGCCATCACAGCAAGGAGATCCTGCGACGGCATTGGAGCGTTGTAGATATAGAAAGACGTCTACGGATCATGGCTCTATGTGCAGTTCATCCAATAGCACTTCATGGCTCACCTCTGCGACTGTGTCCTCAAAATTATGAAAAAAGTGCAACTCTCACTACTGTAGTGTCAGCAATCAAGAGTGCAAGGGTGGTAAAGCACTGGCATGTGATACCGAAGAAGACAGAATTTTGTGTAAATATTTCGTCGACTAGAAACAATTGGGTTCCGAGATATGGGGTTTCTTCTTCTTGCTGTAAGAAAAAACCTGGAATTCGTTGCTCCCGAGATGATCGAGGAGGTTGTGATGCAGCTGAACATAAGTTTGAAGAGCCTTTTAAGGAAGCCATTTTTGAGCTGGAAATTATGGTTAGGGAGCCAGCAGAGGTACTGGGTGGTATGCAAGAAAGATTGTCTGCTAAGGATTTGGAGCTAGTGCTCACATATTTTGCCCAGGACGGTCGAGATTCTTGGTGTGCACTTGAGGTCTACGAGTGGATGCAAAAGGAGAATCGTGTAGGAGACGAGACGCAAAAATTGATGATGGCTATTATGTACGAATGGGTCATGAAATTAGTTGAAGGCGAACAGTCTGTGGAGGAGGTGAAAAGCCTGTTGCAGGTCAGCTATTATTTGCATCAATTTTGCAATCGGCGTTTGCAAAGTTAGGACTAAAATGTACTTCAGTTTTGTAAGTCATGTAGTTCTTTTAGGATTCAAGGCTCTGTATCTGCTGCTGGTTCAGGATTTAGGACGTAGTAGCTTTCGTTTTCAATTCCCTTCTGCTTCACTTGTTATAGAAACAAGGTTTATTCTGATGAAGTGAAGCGTAGCGCAGGATATGTACTGCGTGGGTTTGAAGCCAGAGTTTCACATCATACAAACCATCATTTCTTCTTACTGGGACAAGGGTAGGAAGGACAAAGCATTGTGTTTTGTTAAGCAAATGCTGGAAACAGGGGTGGAAAGCGATGCTGAAGATCCCCTGGCTTTCCTACTCATAAAGATGGTCAAAGCAGGAGAACAAAAGGAGGCTATCGAGTTGGTGCGTACCTTGCACGGATGTGGGTTGGAGCTTCGTATTTCTTCTTACAGCGCCGCACTACTTGCTGCAGTCAAGGAGCAGGAGCAGGTTGGTTATTCGTCCCTCAAGGAATAACTGTTATTCGAGTAATCATTTGCAGCCACAGTGGTAGATACTAGTGTTCTAATTTTTTTTTCTTTTGGATGCAGTTCACGAAGGTTCAACGGGAAGTGAGGATGCTCGTTCAGAATGGTCAACTGCAGGAGCTGGAGAAACACGAAAAGGAAGCGTTTGCTACCTATGAATACCTTCTCCATTTGCAGGCGGAAGAAATTGTCCTGTGGGCCGAGAAGATAGGGACCCCTGATAAATTGCCAGTTATCTACGAACGGCTGCTGGCTATGTATTGCATCGCAGGAAACGGCTTAGCTGCAGAGCGGGCCCTCTGGCAGATGAAATTTTCAGGACGGGAGCCACCAGTCGAAATGTATAACACTGTAGTCGGCGTGTGTGGATTTGGAAACCATCGAGAGGCTGCCTTTCGTGTTCTAAGCAGGTGGGAAGCTGACACTCTTCCACCCTAGAGCAATTCGTTGGTTGTGTTGTTAGACTATTTTGGTCAGTTTAATTCTAGTGTGTATGTAGTCATGAAATCATCGAATACATGTGCTTTGTACAAAACGAAACTTTTCAAAGACTAAGATATTCGGAGATGTGGGCGGGTGCAGAATGGAGGCTCTGGGTCTTATGCCAGTGAAGAAAACGTACACCGTCTTAATCGGTGGGTTTCTGAAAGGGGGGAATTTTCAAGAGGCCTCAGAAGCACTGCTCTTGATGCTAACCAAGGGATTACGTCCTGATTTTCACGTCATGCTGGCAGTCCTTCGCTCTTTACAGAAAGCTGGACGTGTGTCCCAGTATCTCCATCTCTGCAAGACTCTGGCGGATGTTGGAATAATAGAACCCTGCTTGGTGTATGTCTACATCGATACACATAACTTGTGCATAATCAGGGTTTTATGACAAGTTTCCTTGTAATTACTGGTAGTGGAGTTTTCTTGTGTACATTACTGATGTATGGTGTGCAACGTGCAGCTGGGGAAATGCACAACTGGACATTGCACCACTGTAAATAGAATTGTAGATGAGGCAGTTGAATTTTTGAGCGCAACTACCAAATGCTCTGGTAGATTGCTGATGTTGTACAGATTGAAAATCTTTTAATAATATTGGATGCGAATTGCTTTCTACTTGCGGTGTATTTGGTTACATTAACTATTGTATTTCTATCTTTCATTAATATTATTTACCGCACGAGAGGACATAACAATTCATCAATATATATTCTGGTGGACCGAGAGTTGGTCTTGGTGTGTGTTTATAGTTTGGAGAAAAACATATTGTCTACATGTGTGGAAAATTCTTTTGCGATCGTTCCGTAGTTAACATTGGTGGACAAAAAAATTCACTGTCTTATGTACTGTTCACAGTATGATATATATGCATATTTCACAATAAATGCACTACTGAAAATGTTCCATCCACAACACAAATGTCTACCAAAGTTTACTTGGTTATGTTTGGTAACATGCTTACTTCCATTTTCACTGGCTTTACATTTACGAACTACACTCTTTACATTTACTCACATTTTTAACCTCTCGCTTCCTACCTAGTGCTCAATTATCAGATATTCGGAAGTGGCTTTGTAAAAGTTTCCACGAATCCAATACCATCAATAACAAGATGAAATGACCCAGATACAACAGTGACAGCAGTTAGAATGCCATCACAGGAGCAGCAGACTGCATGACATACTTATCCAGTGCTTGGCAACGCTCATCACGCTGCAACTTTGCCAGGCTCCCATTTCTCGAAAAGCCTAAGGATCCTTGGCCTTCACTCTTCACTTTCTCCTTCACTACCACCTCTCCCTCTGGATGTTCCAGCTTTTTCTTTGCAGCATTAATATCTTCTTGTGGAAAAGTCAAATTAGTGACGAGGTATTCACTCGATTCATTGAACCCGCTATCCATTGACACTAGACTTTGGTTTTCAACTTTCACTGAAACATGCTCATCTGCACTAACTTCTTCAATGACTTCCCGCACTTCTCCTGCCAATTTATTGCCTTCCTTCTTTTCTACTAAATCATCCGACACCAATTTCACCTGATCAAAACGTTCAGTTGATTAATCATTTGATATCCACAAAGTGAAGTGGTAAGAAGTATAACGACACACGAAAGCTATCTTATTAGCATTACCTTAGCCAAGGACAAATCAGCCCCACTAGCAATCAATTTCCTAACAAGCGCCTCAAAATTCTCTGGGCTCGGCCGGTAATGCCCACTGTGAGCTTCCATCAGCTATTACCAAGGCAAAAAAAATCAGTTAGATGCAATTCGTCACATATCAGAATCCTCCAACTCCTAAATCAAGATTCGAAACTCCTCAAACTTTACAATGTCATCAATTTCATAAGCACAAACAAGCTTAAACCGACTGAAATTTAAATGCTGAAGATTCCAGTTATTATATCAAATAGGAAGTACGAACATGGCTATCCATGTTAACCTGTCTATCTCTAAACAGTCACAAAATTAAAACTCTTCAAATATCAGATTGAGACGAATCGGCCAATCTAGTATCTACTTTATTTGGCAATGAAAAAAGCATCCTGTTTCAAGCGAACGGTCCTACCTTTAAGACTCCGTGATTGACGACAAGGCGGCCGGCAGCAGTCGTGGCGCCTCCTGCTAAGAAGCTTGAGTGCTGAAAAACACCTTTCTTCTTCTTGCCAATGTAGAGCTTTCCTTGAGGGCTCATAACGAAAATCCAACGGTCCCCGTCGGGAGTGTGCACAAGCTCTCCTGAAGCTGTATAAAACAATTTGCCGCAGTAAATCACCACCTCATAATGCTTTCTCTGCTCCTGAGAATTTCATTCACAAGAGTTTGTTAGTCATACCGAATTATTAATATGCCTGATTTAGCTTGAGAGGATTCTATTGCAGTAGGTCTAACATGGGGGTTGGGAGGTTCCACACGATGATAATGCATGAATTAATCTCAATATCACATCCGAGGAGAAAGAGCACATTACAGGACTTAAATACTTAATCTGTTGCTGTTGGAGAATGGCTCTCGAGCACTTGGGTAATTCAATCTGCCTGCCCCCTCCAAGGTCCAACCTGCCACAATAACGAATGAAAGAGTGTCCTAATCAACATCCGTTTTACAAGCCACAACCTCTTTTGAATGGAATAAAATAAAACACGAGTAAAACGTACCAATAGAAAAAAGGCTCAGCGGTTTCTTTTGCAATCCAGTGGAGGTAGTACGCGTGCAAGTTGTGTCCATATCTGTGTCTTGCGTCCACCTGCGTGTTATCAGTCATACAAACCTTCAACCTTTCAACTACATGATGGGGAAGCCAAGATGAAAATCAATACATGAAAAATAGCTCTGGCCTCAACTGGACATATCAGGCATAAGAAAAAGGTGGGTAAGTGGGTTTGAAAGTGATAAGAAGCAACACGCTTAAGGAAGACAATGGACTGATGCTGACTTCTGGTTACTCTATTAATAAACTTAGCAAGAAGGAAAGAACGAATGTCTTACAGCTTCCAACCAATGTTGTAGAGCAAGCTTGAGAGCTTTGTTGTCTTTCGACAATCCTTTTCCAACCTGCAACTCACCAGCAGATGCCTATTGTTAAACTCTCAACTTGAACACAACTACAGACCAGGAGTGAAACACATTTCTGACGCTCACTGCATTCCCAGGTTAAAACAACAGCACTCTGCTAATTAAAAAAGGACCTGCCTTTCACAATTTTTGAATTAAGTTATTTTCATTTTTAGTTATTGTCGAAAGTGTTGAATAAAATGCTCACCTTTGAGGCCTTTCGTTTCAGGCGTTTCCAATGGTCAATAGCATTCCAAGATTTACTGTGTGCGTAATACTGTTGAGTGTGCTCTTGCAGAACCACAGAATCGACAATATTCCACCTGTTTCTACGCAGTACCAATCTCGTCAAAACATGGAAAGCGAACCAAAAAGCCATGTATGCTTACAATAGCATCACTCTGATTCATTTCACTTTGTCACCAGACACCACAAATGCAACATTCTCAGTGGCAATAGATTTTTAGAAGAGCTGAAATTCATAAATGAATAGGGTTGTCACTACGGAGGTCACAAGAGACATTTAACAGAAACTCAAGCAGCTTAAGGTTAAGCTACATTGCCGGAGGATTTAAGTTGTGGAGGCATACCAGCCAAACGCTTTGGACATGACTGCCGCATCTGCAAGCTTGCGCCGAGCTCGGTACCCTCGGTACGCCTTTTGCACCTGTACAGCGGCTGCATTCTGTACTTCTGTAGGATCCACCTCTGCTGTCATGGCGGCGCTCTTCCTTCTCCGAGGGTCTATCGCGCCAGTTGCAACGTCCCCTGAATTGCCCTATGCAAATACTAGGTCTCAAAATAGTGGGAAACTACGTAGCTTGACCCCGAGAAGAGAGTTTAGTTTTGAAACACCAGTGACGGAGACGAAGCGCAGGCGACCCAATTTGTAGAATCTGTAACAATGCCTAATTTTATCTTCTATCACCGAAGGAGCTGAGTATTCCTGAGGTAGAATCGGACCACTCCAGAATGACATAGATACCCTAGGATTTCGTGCGACGGTGAATCAAACTGTGAAAGAGTGCACTAGACTTGTGCGAGCCAGCTAGGCTTGCAGTTGTGTCGCTTTTAAGGAACTTAAGTCTAAAAGTAAAAATTAATCTGCTGCAAATCAATGTCTCACAGACGCAAAACCCCACATCGCGCTAGAAAGCTCAGATTATTCTCCCTACAGAACGTAATAGCACAGAGATTCTCACGCACAGAACGGCATTTTCAAACGAAATACGTACTGAAGAAGACGACCCCATCAAGCGGGAAGAAACACACATTACGGTGGCCTCTCGTCCTAGGGAAAAACCGTGCGCATACACCTTAAAAACCCGATTCATACAAACTGAGCACAAATACCCGATGATGGCCACTGACCTAACACGCGTTACAATTGTCAGAGCCGAGGTCCTTGTCAAGGTGCAAACAAAGTAATTACTACGTGCCTTCAAACCAGATAAACAGACAGACAGAAAAGATGAGCAGGGAGCAAGACTGTACCGCTTGAGCTGCAATATATGAGGTTACAGTGTCATGTCACAAAAGCAGGAATGGTACTCCGAGACCTTGAAGGAATATCGAGATTGGAGCCAAGTAAGAATATACCAATTCTCCCGTGGTAACCAGTCAACTAGATGCAAGAATACAGTGGTGGATCCTAGGAGAGGCAATGTAAATCTTGACCAAGAGGCGGCTTAGAACGAAGCCACAACAATCCAATTATATTCCAAGTAAAACTTGAACAGCTTGATGCAGTTCATGCGTGGACACTTCGGATTTAAACAGGTGCCATTGTTTACGTACTTCGCAGATGTGTTTTTCAAGCTTCTATTGAAGGTGGGGCCCATATGGTGTACTGGGTGCGTCACTGACACCTCGTTTTTATCAGAGCCAGTTCCGGAGAGAAATTTTAGCAGAACCGCTAAGATCCTCGATTTCAATATCGTCTGACGGTTCTCTTCGAGGTATTTGCTCTGATTCATACTAATGTCCAACTCGAGTTTGAGATGACAAATTTAGGCTTAAACTGGCTAGATCTGGATTTAAAGGTCGGACTTCGTCGGCCATTAATGGCATGCGCGAGCTCAAACTGTTACTCATAAGCGCATTTGCTGGAAATTGGTCATCGAAAACAGTAGTCAAATAATTAGTGTTGTTTAGGGTGGAAAAATTCAGTCGAGACACTTGAAAATGAGCGTCGACAACTTCCTACCACTAAAGATGGTTTGAAACTAAAAATATATTCAGCTTGGTGTTTAGGCGTGGGCCTTGCCTTGCGAAAAATGGATCAATAACAATAATCAAGGAAGAATAAGACGAAATGCAAAAGAAAATCAAACAACTACCCCTATTGCCGTGTTGAAACCATGTTGATTCGCATCTGCTTTTTTACCAAGCTTCTGAATCTTCCACGTATCGCCGTTATAAGATTCCTCTGAATCTGGTCGGCTAGAAATTCTTATCCAGTGCATGGTTTCGCACGCGAGCCCTCCCATGAGCCGAAATTACCTGGATAATTTGGACCCAAAATGGTCTGTGTCGTCTGACATACCGATCGGATGGAAAGCTACCAGTGAGGTGCTTCATTGCAGGATGATGGCATTCCACTGCATCAAGTATACCAGACACGAAGCAAGTCAGCAAAGAGGATATGAGCTTTGGAAATCCTTACTGGGCAGATACCTTGCTCGGACAACGACATTGGACCTGCATTGTCCACACGTTTTGCGTGTATCCTCTGCTCATCTGCCTTTGCCATTTATCGATAAAACGAAAGAGCCATGGAGGACACACAGGTCACACTTGTAAAAATCGTCAACGTTTGCCTCACGACTGGAGAATTGATGGCTTCACCGAGTTCCATTCTTTAAACAACCAACGCTCCTTGCTGAGCCATCGAATTAGAAAAACTTTGATATGTTACGCGTATTATGCTATATGAGTCAGATGATGCAATGACCACTCGTAGCGAAGCAAGACTTCTTCTAAGCACGGCAGGACGAGACCATGGAGATTACCTGTTAGTAATCCCGCGGAAACGCTGCTTGACTATTTAATCAATGCACTATCTCCAAGCATCGCAACGGGAATCAGAGTAACATGTGCTAGCGAGCGTTAAACCTCCTCTAAAGAATTTCTCCTTGTACATCGGGAGAATAAGTACGAAAGGACACAGACTTCACGCCGTCTGCTCCAGAGAAAAAGACAGCATCACACAATGCAAGGATTTGAATCTTTCAACTAGTGGAGAACCAGTATTTATTGTATGCGTGAGACGTCACGCATCCCTGCAGTTGGCCCGCACGCCATCCTCCAATCCGCAGTGGATGCTCCTTCGATCACCTGTGGGACGGAATCTGTCCAGGCAAGAGGACACTGGAAAGGCGTCGGGCCCGACTCAGCAAGTACCAATAAATGGCAAGATCCACACAGACGCGGATGCGGATTCTGCCAAGTGGTTCGATTCTTCTGCCACCCACTGTTGTCAACACTCCTCGGCCGCAGATAAATTGTGACAATTGTAATAACACGACGCTCATTACCCTGGTAGAATTCCACACGAGTGGACGAAGATTAAAACGGAGAAAAACGACGGCATCGCGCCCTCGACGACGACGAAGACGTTGCTGGGAATTAAACTGCGACGCGGCTCCAGAGCCTTCAAAAATAACGGAACCGGAGCTTCGTGCCCCTTCCGTCCCCAAATTCGCATTTGCTTGTGTTTTTTTATTTTATTGTAAAAAAATGAATATCAGATGCAGTGCTACCTGTTATATAATTGTAGAAATCAGTAGACTTATCACTTATGATATCTGCCAGTAAACAATATTTTTTTAATATAAAGAATACTGGGTATTTTCTACCGACAAGCAATATGTTCAATTATAAAATACACCAGATTATTTCTATCAATGTCCCCAAGGCAAAGTGATGATTATCGTTTAAGATGTCAGATTTGGTTTATTCATTTTATTTTTTATTTTTTTTCTGTTTTCATTATTTTAAGAGTTGTGTGCATGATGCAGTGATATTTGTTATGAATTGATAGGAATTGGTAGAATAATCATTTATATTTTCTATCTATATTCAGCATACTCAGTTATAGAGCATTGTGGGTACTTTTTGCCAATATATGATATATTCAATAATAAAATACACTATATTATGTCTACAAATATTTTTTTGAAATTCATACTTATCATATTAGTTTCTATCTACATAGTTTTATAATCCAGTACGTTATATAATTAAATATATGCTATGTTTATTTATTAGAAAAAAATATAGATATGAAATAGGAAAAATTAAAAAAGATATAAAAAATATTTTTTCTCATAATATACAATGACCAATTAAATTAAATCAGATTATTATGATTTATTTTTTAAAAAAATAAATTGGTTATAATTTGAACACATAACTTTGGTTATATATATATATAGGATTTAGGTGTACATAGTATTTTCTATATATATATATATATATATATATATATATGATTAAATTGTTTTGAGACTTCAGTTACACTTGATTTTAATCTATAAAATTTATTCTTTTTACTTATTGTATACATGATTAAAGGTAGTTTATTATATTGTGGGACATGTTGATTTTTTTACAAGTGGAAATTTATCTTCTTTTAAAATTCGACCCAAGTTTCTAATCAAATCGATTAACCTAAACCTGTTTTATAAAAATAAATCTAATAACTAAATAGTTTAAGACCTCATCTTGTTTATTTCAACAATAATACAATACATGAATAACCACAGTACGGTTGAGAACTGTACAAAAAGAATTAAAGTTGTAAGAGTTTTAAATTTTTTATTGATTATTAGAGGATATGATTATTATTATTATTATTATTATTATTATGTTTTTACTATTCTACCATAACAGTCATCTTAAAACAACATATTTTTTCCTAGTTTATTCAATTTTTTCAAGTATTTTATTAATTTAATTTAATTTAATTTTTTTACTCTTAATAAAGTTTCTATAAGAAGTTAGAATTCAAAACAACAAATAAATTTTTCTTTGTATTGTGGTAATTGACAATCTGTAGAATTAGCTCTAAGGGTCTTAAGTGACTATTTTGTAGAAAATAAATAAACAGGTTAAATTGACAGAAGAGACTTGTGAAAAAACTTCTTACACATTATTTTCTATTACGTACGTTACCATAATTTTTTCAGATTGTCTATGTTTAGCACAACATCATTTTTAAAAATTTTATAAACAAACTTTGACTATGCTCAGAAAATTAATTTGGTATTTAATCATGTTTTCTTAATAAATTTAAATTATTTTTATTGATTGCATACTATTATTATACAAATATTAAAAAACCACATTATTTTTTTCCTGCTATGATTCTAACTATTCTCTAAAGATATTCAAAACATTCAAATGTATAAATCAGTAATTCTTTAAAATATAGAAAAATATGTATGAAAAGTATACAAAGTTTAATTTTAAAAAAATACTTAATGCTTTGCAAAATCTCTGACATGAAAGAAGTTTTTTTTTTTAAATGAGACCAAATTCTACACATATGATTCCTGGTATACATTTAACTTCATAAAACTAATTTCCACTAACAAAACCCACTTCGGTTGTTGATTAAAAAAATAAAAAATAAAAAATGGTTAATTCCTAAAAAGATTTTCTAAGTAGAATTTTATTATTATAATAATAATAATAATAATAATAATAATAATAAACAATTCTTTTACATGACTTGGAAATTCGTAACAACAAATTCTTTAATAACTCTAGAGAAAAAACAATTAAACTGTTTCTAAAGAGTTTTAATTGTATAGATTTTATTTCTTATTTTTAAAAATTTTAATATTAGAAAATCATTTATCATTAAAAAAAATTACTAATGAACATTTGGAAAGTAAAATTTTATACATCTTAATAAAAACTTTTCAACGAGTCTAATTTTAATTTCAGTTAGTTTTCTTCATACTATTATTTTGGTTCTGATTTTGTTAAATAAATAAAGCACTTGTTCAATTTTTGAATTCCATGCACACGTAGTAAAGTAAAACAGTCTAAATTTTAGGAACAACTAATTATTTTGGTAACCATATAATTTTTAAAAAAAAAAATACATGTAGCAATAAAACAATCTTTTGAAAAACTTATAATTGAACGTCACTGATTCTTTATAGTAGCATTAGACAGTTGCTTAGCACAAACAATGGTTTCGTTTGAATCATTCAAAAAAGTTCCTATCATTTGATTATATTTCTTGAAACATGCAATTATGTCTTACAACTGATTTTTTTATTACATAACAACGTCTTGAAAGTTTGGTTTTAAACAACACAATCTTCTTTATTAACATTACAACAAAGAAAAAATACAAACAATAAATAGTCACGTCGCAAAGTGAAATATCCAAAATAATCTAATAAAAAATATACAAATAAAATAAATAACGACTTTCAAGAAGAAATATTCCATTATAATTAAAAAAAAAAAATTGTAATACAATACATTGCATTTAAATGAATCCACATATTCTAAAACAATATCGAGCTAATAAAACTTACAGAGTAATTTCCCATACTAAACTGTACGACACTTCATAATCTCATTATGAATCTACTCTAAATTTGAGAATTTATCCATCCTTTAATAAATTATGACTTTGCAAGGTAATCAAAGACAAGTTACAAATCAAATCACTCAAACTTAACCTGAATTCTTAACTTTCCGTACTTAGAGTATTCAGAAAATCCCCAAAAAAATAAAAAAAAAAACTACGATGTTCGAATAAACCCACATGTTTATTACACCAGTGACTCTTAGCTCAAGAATGAATCCAACGACCCCTTAATTTCTAAGAGAAACCACAACACGCATGCTACACATATTCCGCCATGATATGCCAAATCTCAAATCTTCAATAACTTAAAACCATAAAAAGTTACTCAAACGAGCCGTCATGGTTTCAATATAAATACGAGCACGAATCACAAGTCGCAACATCTTCATGCTGCCAGTTGTGCCGCTGATGAACAGCACACGCCTGTGTCCAGAATAGTTGGGGGCTATCATATGGACTGGGGATGTGTTGTCCCAGTCTGTGAGATAGAAAATCACTCGCGAATGGCGAGCATCGTCCTCGGTTTGTGTGGACTACGTACTTCCGACTTCCTGGATGATTGGGAAGTTTGGAATTGTGGCCGCGTGGAAGAGGTTTTCAAAGGAGTTTTGGATGAGCAGCAGCAGCTGGATGAGTGCATCAAGTCGTATGTCGCCTGCAGTATTTGCGTGTTTTCTCTGTTGTTGTTGTGCATGAGTCCGTGGAAAGTCGGAAGCATGCGGGAACAAACGTAGCGCCAGCTGAACCCGTCGAAATGCAAGAACGCGCCTCTTGCTGCTTCCAGGCTCATTTGGATCGGAGTATTCCAGGGTCAAGATTTGCATCCGAGCACTTCCGCTCGTGCGGTTCATGTTTTGTAGGGCTGTCGAGAACGGTTGAAGGCGTAAACTGGGGCGGTTGGCCTGGAAGGATCTCCAGCGGAACTTCATGAAGTGTTGGAGAGAAAGTTCTTTCCAATTCGCGATTCCCAGACTTCTACAATCTTGGATTGGCGTCGGCGTGTGCCATGTTGTCCATGTGTGTGGTACTTTTCGAGTGCGGTACTCTTCCTGTCGGAGGAATATCCACCGTGCCAATGCAGGAGGCAGTGGTAGCACGAGGTAGCGCTGCGAGGAACACTGGGGCAACTGCAGGGAGGAGAAGTCCCAAGCAACAAAGCCCCAGAACGCATGGCGCCTGGAATACACACCACGAAGCAGGCTACCCAATATAAAAAGGCACAAAAGGGTGCGCCATCGCCAAGGAATGAAGAGCAGAAAGGTGCGGCAGCTGATCTTGTGAGGAAGAAAGCATTCGGATGTGAGGGTGTGCGCAGTGTGCTGGGAGTTGTGATGAAGAAATGTGAAGCATAACGTGGATGGTCTGATTGGTTGCTAGCGCGTGCCGGTAGATGAAACATTGAGCGACACACGGAACATGCTGTGTAATATGTGGGTGTGTGTGTGTGCTCTGGATGTGGTGGTTTCATCAAGACGTCAGAAGAAGAAGAACATGCCCAGGAGATTAGGCATGCCAATGTTCAATAGGCATTTGTAGGGGATCCTGTTGCACGCAGGGCGGCAGGGGAGTGGCAATGGGGGCGGGGGGTCGAGGCAAGGAGGTGAGGGCACAGGGGAGAGGGTGACAGAAGTGCGAGGGGTGGGAGAGTGGGAGGGTGAAGGAGAAGGTTTGGGGGGAGGCGCAGGATTAGGAGCAGGAGGCAGCGAGTGATGGCAGCGGAGGGGTCGCGAAATGTCCCATAACGTGTGGGGGAAGTGAGGAGGAGGTCGGGGTATAATGAGGGCGAGGCGGGAGAGGGATGGTATACCTTTCTCGGCCTTTTGGCTAAGATCAAGTGTAGTATCTGTTCTTATCAGTTTAATATCTGATACGAGGCTCATCGAGCCTCATGATATTAATCTAATTTTTCTCGGGTGCGGGCCCATTCGGCAGCTTGCTGCCCGGGCCAGCGCGCGTCGCCTTGGTATTGCACTACCTCCTAGGCTGGCACAGCCCTCCCCCTCCATCCCCGGAGGGACCCAAATGAAATGCGAAATCGGAAGTATCGCTCAGTTGGTCAAGCTAGTGAAAGCATGTTTCTCGAAGTGCTCAGCGCTGTTTCAGCGACGTGGCTGATGCCTCATGTTGAATTGTTATGTCATGGAGAAACTCGTTTGGTGCCAAGTGCATCAGATTGATGTGAGAGGGGCTTCCCAGTCTGATCCTAGCACTGTGTTGGTGTCCAATGTGTTGGGTGTCAAAAATGCCTCCCATGTATTCAAACCAGGAGGGACCACCACCTACACCAGTTCTCATGATTGTTGCATGTCCAAATGCCAAGCAACTCTTTACTTTTACTTTTTAATTTTTTTAATTTTTTTATTGAGAAGTGTGAGTGAAGTGTGAAGGTTAGAAACATGTGGAACATTGGAATCTTTTTGAGGGCTCAAATTTTGAACTAATTGTCTTTTTTTTTCTTTTTCTTTTTTTTTTTTTTTTTTTTTTGGTTTTCATTTATAATGGAATGATGTAATATTGATTGATTTTTTATTTTTTATTTTTTTAAATGTTTAGAACCAAATTTATTAGACATAGAGAGTTTGGTTGCATTTATGTATAATATATATATGTGTGTGTGTGTGTATATATATATATATATATATATATATATATATTATTTATTTTGTGCTTTCTAAAATAACATAAGTTAATAATAAATATTTTAAAAGCCCACACTATTATCTACAGATTTATGAAAAGTTTTAAAATCATCTAAATTTATTTCATGTTTTTAATAATCATCTATTATTATCTTACAGTCTTTGAAACCGTCCACAATTTCAATTCATATATTTTTTTAAAGTTTCATCTAAGGCTCTTGTTAGTATTTTGAAAAATTATAAAAAAATATTAATTATATTTACAAAATATTTCTTTCTAGAATTATGTAATATGTAATTTTGTGATGTTTGATTGCAAATTTTGATGATACTTTAAAGGAATTATAAAATGTTGTCAAAGATGTAAGCTTGTCCAACTTCTTTCACAATGATGTCAAGATATAGCACCTACTCGTTCTTCATGTTGTCAATGATTTAACTTTGTCCAACTTCTTTAGCAATGATGTCAAATTTTTACACCAATTTATATAGAATATTGTCAAAGATGTAGGATTTCTTTATTTTTTTTTGGATGATTGAAAGTTTTTGTAATAATTTTTATCAAGTATTTGTAATGATGTAAAATTGTCACACTTTTTTGACATAGATATTAAGTTCTTCCATCTACTTATATTGAATCTTGTTAGCTTTATAAGGTGGTCCAATTCCTTCACTAATGATGTAAAATTCCTTCAACAATGATGTATAATTCAATTCAACTCCTTTGGCAATAATACTAAGTTATTGCACTGACTCATTTCAAGTGTTGACAAAGATGTAAGGTTGTCCAATGCCTTTGGTAATGATGTCAAGTTAAAGCATTATTCAATGCTAAACCATTGCATAAAAATTAAGTTTTTTGTTTGTTTATGATAGTACCTTTATTATTTTATATTCTTTTGGAATTAAGATCTTTAATAATGTTAAATTATAAACTCTTTTGGTAATATTTCTAAAATTAAAAAATCCTACAAATTAAATTCTTTTAATTCATTTATTACAAATAATAAATTTAGAAATATTTTATAAGCTTCCAATTCTTCAATTATGTAATAATAATTATTTCTTTTTAAAGCTTTTTTGTTAAAGATTTTAACAGAATATGTCCATAATATCATTATACATAGTTTTTGGCAAATTTATACATAACAAAAGTGGTTTTAGTTGGCATAACCATCTTAATAATAATAATATATTCCATATTTTTATATCATCTTTTCATGTATTTTTCTTAATTTTTAGTTCAATAGTCTTCACAAAGAATAATCTATATTTCTAATATTATTTTATATGATATTCTTCTTTTCATTGTAATATAGACCTTCTAACTATTAAATAATAAAATAAAACCAATTTCAAATTTTCAACTCATATATATATATATATATATATATATTTAATCTAATATCAATAAATATTTAATATGAACATAAGATATTTTATAATTACCTATGTACTATCATATCAATTTACAAAATAATGATATAACATCATAGCTATAATCATTAGATATAAAATATTTATTACTATTTTTAATTTTATGCATATTAATTATACATGAGTTAAGTTAAGTACTTTTGTTGAAAAATTCTTAGTTGGTACCATATTCATTTTTCATATTCTTATGTCTATATACATTATATATTTCAACAATCATTTGACCCATTTCTTGTTGATGGTTATGCATTCTTATTATTCTATCTTTATCTATTTTTAGTAGTGAATAAAAATTAATGTATCCAATGTATACTCTACATCTTGCTTCAAATATAAATCTCTCATTCTTAGTTTATATTTGCAATGCTCTTTCTTTCAACATCCCATGTGGATACACATGACCAATAAAAAAATAAGAAATATTTAAGAACATGATTTTTTCTTCAATTTTTAACTTTTTAAAGCTTACTCTCAATATTGTTCAAATCTTATGGTCACTATTTTTTTCATCTCTATCTATATTTCTTAATCTTTTTAACCTTTGTAAAGCTTAGTTTCTATTGTCATGTCAAGAATACACTTATATCTTTCAAATATAAAAGTCAGTCAATGCAAGCTTTTACAATTTTTCTACTTAGATCATCAAGTTCTTTAGGTAATTTAACTTGGTTTCCATGAGAATGAGTAATAAACAACTTTAGACTTAGAATCTCTTTAAGTTTTTTAATATCCAATTTTAAACTTTTTATAGAAAAATACATCATATAATTCTAATATTATATAATTACAATTAAAGTGCTTCTATTGCTTATACACAATACATCCATAGGTACAACATTGTCAATTTCACTTTGTTCTTTAACATTGTCAAACACCAAGATTCTTTTCTTTGACATCAAGTATGATTTCAATAAGACTTATACATCTTACAAAGTCTTTGATGTTTTTTCAACCTTGAATTCTTTCAAAGTGTTATAACAAATAGTGTAGCTATCACTTCTATTTTGAATGTGTATAAAAAAACATCTTGCCTCATAGATACACTTCCCAATATTATATGTAAACTTTGTCATTTTTTTCTTTCTCATTGTCTCCATGACAATAAGTTATATTGCATTAGTACCTATTTTTTATAGTTCGAACAACTTGTTTAAGTATTCTTCTCTATCTAATAATTGATCTTTTTATAAATGTACCTACATAAACAACTACAATTGTTATGCCAAAATATATCCATTATACATGTTGACATTTAATATTATTATATAAATACATGTTTTCTTTATACACACCATTCAACCACTTAAATCTATTTGATGTCTATATCAATCAATCAAATAAACAAAATATGAATAACTACAAATTTCACCACTTCATCGTCACTACATATATATATTTATATTTTCCATTATTGGATGAACTTTTTTCTTGAAGCACTAAAAGACACATCTTTATTTTTATAAAATCCAATTAAAAACTTTGTCTTTATACTTTGAAATCTCTCACAAATATCTCCAAAGTCTAGATGTTGTGAAGGGTTGAAACTCCAACCTTCTTTAATCAACTTAGTCAATTCATCACAATTTGAAAGTAACATCAGTATTTTTCCTTTTCTAACCATTTTTTAACAATTTTTTTGATGTAAAAATTCCATAAAATAACTCTTTTCTTGAAATAATTTCTAAACATACTATTCCAAATGAAAATAAATTTGTTTCATAAGCACATGTTTCTATTAATTTGTTTCTATTAATTAACTAATAAATACACATTATAAAGTATTATTTTTAATTTATCTTTTTTTTTAAATAATAATAAATAAATTATTTGGCTTAAAATTCTGATAAAATATTTCTATGTCATATAAATAATATATTTCTTTTGTAATTTGATACATTGTATCAATGAGTAAACCATATGCTATAGATTTCTTTTTTCTTCAACATACGCACTAGAGTCATGTCCATTTATTTTATTACTAAATACAAAGTTTTATTTCTTTCTTTTATAGGGCAATTCTCAACAATTTTTTTGATATTTACTTTGGCAAAAAAAAAAAAGTAAAAAGTAAAAATTACAAGCTTGAAATTACTCAAACTTTTGAAAATAGCCACTTCAATGGAGACATGTTCTTTGAAGGTAGTTCTATTATTTTTGTGGTACTCAACATTCCAAACCACTTTGATTTGAAAAAACTCCACTACAACCTTTGCCTATGAAATTACTAATTTTTTAATTTTGAATATTATTTAAAAGTTTCAATGTATCCAACTCTCTATATTCAATGTAACTTAAGTTTTTTGATCTTTGCAAAAGATATTTAGCAAATCCATATTTTTTAAAACAAATATTTTAGATTCCAAATATCAAATTCTCATGGAGACTTTCATCATTTCTGTCAACTTCATCAAATGTAGCAATATTACATATAATATGTGTAATGCCTTTGAATTCTTCTGAATAGTGCATTGTCACAAAATCACTTGTTATATTGTAACAATACAACATATTTTTAAAAATCTCTAAAACTTTCATTGTGCTACAATGGAAAAATAGATGCTTCATATGTTTTTTTCATTTTCACAATTTTCTATCAATAAGTATGTTTTATTTACCACAAAATATAATGCAACAAATGAAAGCCATTATTTTCCAATGATATATTTAAACTCAATAGGTTGTCAATTACATTCATCACATGCACAAGTTGAATATCCAAACTTGTACACTGATTTTTATTCAACATACATTTTGATATCAATAAGTCCTCTAATACTTTAATCAAGATTTAATAGTACATAGAAAAAATTTGCACCTTTGCTTGTTCTTTTTTTAACAAAGATGAAAATCCTTGCAAACAACCAATTAAGTGATTGGTTGTGATGGATCACTTGATTCAACAACATGAAGAACGAGTAGGTGCTATATCTTGACATCATTGTGAAAGAAGTTGGGCAAGCTTACATCTTTGACAACATTTTATAATTCCTTTAAAGTATCATCAAAATTTGCAATCAAACATCACAAAATTACATATTACATAATTCTAGAAAGAAATATTTTGTAAATATAATTAATATTTTTTTATAATTTTTCAAAATACTAACAAGAGCCTTAGATGAAACTTTAAAAAAATATATGAATTGAAATTGTGGACGGTTTCAAAGACTGTAAGATAATAATAGATGATTATTAAAAACATGAAATAAATTTAGATGATTTTAAAACTTTTCATAAATCTGTAGATAATAGTGTGGGCTTTTAAAATATTTATTATTAACTTATGTTATTTTAGAAAGCACAAAATAAATAATATATATATATATATATATATATATATACACACACACACACATATATATATTATACATAAATGCAACCAAACTCTCTATGTCTAATAAATTTGGTTCTAAACATTTAAAAAAATAAAAAATAAAAAATCAATCAATATTACATCATTCCATTATAAATGAAAACCAAAAAAAAAAAAAAAAAAAAAAGAAAAAGAAAAAAAAAGACAATTAGTTCAAAATTTGAGCCCTCAAAAAGATTCCAATGTTCCACATGTTTCTAACCTTCACACTTCACTCACACTTCTCAATAAAAAAATTAAAAAAATTAAAAAGTAAAAGTAAAGAGTTGCTTGGCATTTGGACATGCAACAATCATGAGAACTGGTGTAGGTGGTGGTCCCTCCTGGTTTGAATACATGGGAGGCATTTTTGACACCCAACACATTGGACACCAACACAGTGCTAGGATCAGACTGGGAAGCCCCTCTCACATCAATCTGATGCACTTGGCACCAAACGAGTTTCTCCATGACATAACAATTCAACATGAGGCATCAGCCACGTCGCTGAAACAGCGCTGAGCACTTCGAGAAACATGCTTTCACTAGCTTGACCAACTGAGCGATACTTCCGATTTCGCATTTCATTTGGGTCCCTCCGGGGATGGAGGGGGAGGGCTGTGCCAGCCTAGGAGGTAGTGCAATACCAAGGCGACGCGCGCTGGCCCGGGCAGCAAGCTGCCGAATGGGCCCGCACCCGAGAAAAATTAGATTAATATCATGAGGCTCGATGAGCCTCGTATCAGATATTAAACTGATAAGAACAGATACTACACTTGATCTTAGCCAAAAGGCCGAGAAAGGTATACCATCCCTCTCCCGCCTCGCCCTCATTATACCCCGACCTCCTCCTCACTTCCCCCACACGTTATGGGACATTTCGCGACCCCTCCGCTGCCATCACTCGCTGCCTCCTGCTCCTAATCCTGCGCCTCCCCCCAAACCTTCTCCTTCACCCTCCCACTCTCCCACCCCTCGCACTTCTGTCACCCTCTCCCCTGTGCCCTCACCTCCTTGCCTCGACCCCCCGCCCCCATTGCCACTCCCCTGCCGCCCTGCGTGCAACAGGATCCCCTACAAATGCCTATTGAACATTGGCATGCCTAATCTCCTGGGCATGTTCTTCTTCTTCTGACGTCTTGATGAAACCACCACATCCAGAGCACACACACACACCCACATATTACACAGCATGTTCCGTGTGTCGCTCAATGTTTCATCTACCGGCACGCGCTAGCAACCAATCAGACCATCCACGTTATGCTTCACATTTCTTCATCACAACTCCCAGCACACTGCGCACACCCTCACATCCGAATGCTTTCTTCCTCACAAGATCAGCTGCCGCACCTTTCTGCTCTTCATTCCTTGGCGATGGCGCACCCTTTTGTGCCTTTTTATATTGGGTAGCCTGCTTCGTGGTGTGTATTCCAGGCGCCATGCGTTCTGGGGCTTTGTTGCTTGGGACTTCTCCTCCCTGCAGTTGCCCCAGTGTTCCTCGCAGCGCTACCTCGTGCTACCACTGCCTCCTGCATTGGCACGGTGGATATTCCTCCGACAGGAAGAGTACCGCACTCGAAAAGTACCACACACATGGACAACATGGCACACGCCGACGCCAATCCAAGATTGTAGAAGTCTGGGAATCGCGAATTGGAAAGAACTTTCTCTCCAACACTTCATGAAGTTCCGCTGGAGATCCTTCCAGGCCAACCGCCCCAGTTTACGCCTTCAACCGTTCTCGACAGCCCTACAAAACATGAACCGCACGAGCGGAAGTGCTCGGATGCAAATCTTGACCCTGGAATACTCCGATCCAAATGAGCCTGGAAGCAGCAAGAGGCGCGTTCTTGCATTTCGACGGGTTCAGCTGGCGCTACGTTTGTTCCCGCATGCTTCCGACTTTCCACGGACTCATGCACAACAACAACAGAGAAAACACGCAAATACTGCAGGCGACATACGACTTGATGCACTCATCCAGCTGCTGCTGCTCATCCAAAACTCCTTTGAAAACCTCTTCCACGCGGCCACAATTCCAAACTTCCCAATCATCCAGGAAGTCGGAAGTACGTAGTCCACACAAACCGAGGACGATGCTCGCCATTCGCGAGTGATTTTCTATCTCACAGACTGGGACAACACATCCCCAGTCCATATGATAGCCCCCAACTATTCTGGACACAGGCGTGTGCTGTTCATCAGCGGCACAACTGGCAGCATGAAGATGTTGCGACTTGTGATTCGTGCTCGTATTTATATTGAAACCATGACGGCGTCAGTTATCATCAACAAATGAGATTCTGTGCCACAACCCAGTCACACTAATACTGTCGCTACATCATGCCAACACCTGGGACTCCCACCGGTTAGAGTTACTGTTGATTAGTAGTTGTAATCTGGAATTTCATATTGAGCTTATATTCAATGCCACAAAGCTTTGCATATTTGGCAGTGTTGACATGGCATCAAACCCAGTAGTGCAAAACTATTTTCTGTACTTCTCTTGCCGGGGTTTGGGATGTGAAATTGAGCATATGAAAATGTTAAGTACTTATCAAGTACGAGTAATGAGGAAAATTAGGTAGCTAACGCCATCCTGCAAAAGCAAAGCACGGAAGCTTGTATGCAAGCACATTAGAAATATAATTACTCGACAAAGATGCAAGCGTACGCATAAATATTGAACCGATGATGCAAATCAATCAGGTGGAAGGAATTAGAAGCTACATATTCGAGCAACAATTGCACCAAATTGCAGAAACGCAGTGTGAAAAGGAACTTTGAATATTAAAATAGAGAATGCAGAAGAACTCTTCACAAACAAGTCATATCCAATGAATCATCTGTATGTTCCTGTACAATTTTTACGAGAGCCTCCTATAAGACAGACAGACAGATCCTACAGTTCAAGCTATAGGTACTCCAAATGAAGCTGTCGTTTAGAATAGGCTTCTAAGAGAACACTAAAGGACCTCAGCATTCATTTAGCATATCGCCTCAGAGTCGCTCAAGATTGTAACGGGCATCGAAACACAAAAAACAGCAGCATAACCTGCAAATTCAAATCTTCTATTATCAAGCTGAAGATTCGGAACATCGAGTATTACAACAGCATTATGTTGCAGTCATTCTCACCGCCTATGCCGCTTGTAAGCGCAGATGCAGAATCTCTTTTCATCAGAAAGTGTATGCTTTTACAAACTTGACGATGCTGAAAAATCCGTGTGATTGCATTCTGTAGCAATCCATATACATTCGGCTCAACTAAGTTATCCGCACAATCGTGAGCAAACGAAAGCGCAAAGTGAAATTCAGATCAGGAAACGTGAGCGCCATCACGACCAGTATCAATGAGTTGCTTTCTCAGCAAGTGCAGATGCCTCTCGGCGCAGCTCTTTGACTACGGCAGCCAGAGCTTCAGGATTAACGCCGTGCTCACAAAGCGCAACCAAAATGGCGAGCGTCGGGCGGTCCAGACCGGTGCCGAGCAGGTTGGACATCATGTGCACGGTGTCAAGCGACTCGCGCGCCCTCTGCATCGCCACGCCGTCCATGTTGATACCAATCCGCAGTAACATCAAAGAAAATAAGGTTCACGAGGGAAGCGAGAGCAGAGTTTTTAGGTTTCGAGGGTCTGGAGCAAGCGTCATGCTCTCTCAAGCTCTTGCTATCAGCGGCATTAGGTACAACACCCCTATGACCGCCTTACATATAATTACGCGGAACCTCACCGTCGTGTGCACTATCGCCTACTCTTTTCCAGCGTAGGTGACTAGAATTAGGGTTTTGTTGTTGTAAAATTCCTTGAAGGAAACAGAATTGTATGCTTGATTCATTTTATCACGGTAGGATTGGTCAAGCTAAGCTCCGACAGCATGGCCAAGCTGCCCCTGTATCAGCGTCTTGCTGTTCTAGCTGCGTTTCAGACCACTGTCGCCGTGGCTTACTTCTCCATCATCGAGGTTACATCTTACGTTGCTCACTCCTCGTCTCTAATGTGTTAAGCTGGCTCTGTCAACGAGGTCTGCTTGTTGTAGAAAGCGCTGAGAATTTTTTTTATTTTTTCCGGTCATGACAGAGTGATTCGATGCGATCATGTTTTGTGGACATGGCGTGGATTTTTAGGTTTATGTAAGGGGCGAAGGGTATCTTGGAGATTAGGAACTTCTTTGGAAGTGAAATTGACATTACGTTGTGGAAATCGCAGAGATCAAGGTCACGTGATGGCAGTTTTGAGAGAGATGGATACAACTTCTGGGATATGTTCGGGGAGCCTAAGCACAAGCGCGAGCACAAGAAGGGTATTGCTGAACAGCACAAAGGTTGAGACGAGTTGACGTCTTTGACGGGATGTTACCTAACTTGTTTCTCAATAACGATTCCGAGGCATTCTCGTCTGCAACACTTCATAGCTTTCGACATCCTCTTCGTGTGGGTTTCCGAGCAACTTTGAACCTACCATCTGAGAGAATCCGCATGTTTTACGAACTTATTGGGTACTTGTGTATACTGTATAATGTGGTAGTGATGTGGACTATGCTGGATTTTGCAACAATCGGGATCGCAGAAATGGTGTCTAAAATTAACTACAACATGATTTTCGTTTTCTACGGTAGAGAACTGATCTGAACGTTAGACATTGCCTGTACAGTGTGTAGGAAATGCAGAATGTCGAGTACATGTGCGGATCTACTTTGCATTATTGGCTTCTTCTTCCGTAGACCAAATGTGTTGAAGGATTACTCCGAGGCTCTGGACGTGAAGTGTACAAGGCTTCGAACTTCGTCATGGTGCTGAAACTAGGCCGAGGTACAATGGAAACTTCAGTAGAGACGCAACGTTCAGAACAGTGGAGACGTACCAGAATGGGCTGTGCTATGGCAATTGTAGCATGCTTTCAGAAACAAGGTACCTTGTTGGAAGGCTTATCTGAAAAGTTCTCAAACTAGCCCTCCAGAAGCAAATTTGAAGATTCTGTATCAATGCTTACGCACAACGTGAAACTACAACAGTTAACGGTACAAGCTGCTTACCAAATATAGTTTTTGGGGTCTGTTATCAGTATATGCGTTCTGCAATTCTAGTAAAAGTGAATGTCAGTGACACGGCACCAGGCATTTCTGCTACTCCAGCGATGCATATTTGATTCAGTAATGGAAGGCAAATATCATTTGTCAAGATTTTTGGTTATGGATTTATCCATTAGCCCGTAAATTAGCCTCAACAGTTCAGACGATACAGCAATATGACATCCCCCTACCTCTCATCTCTCTTTTGTGTAACTGCAGTGTGATCCCTAGTAACAGTGCAACTCACTGCAACATTCAGACGTACATTAGACTGTAGACTCATCAGTTGGCAAAGCGAAGTAGTTTAGCGTAGGGCATAAAACGAGAGAAATGTTCTAATTATTTTCATTCATGAACTCACTAGTTCATAGTTTTGTGGCAAGTAAACCATCATAGTCACTGAAATTTTACCTTCTGAAGGGAAGGTGCAAAATTGTTAGTCAGGCAGCAGCACCCATTACTGTATTGCAAAACGAGATTACGCACCATGACATATATGTATACTACGTCGGCTTATTTGTATCACGCTTCTATGTCTTGGATTTCTTTGAAGACAAAATTTATTCTTCCAACCCAAAGGAGGAAGACTAGAAGTTAAACAGCACTGCATGCTTCTGATCAGTGTAATAGTAAAAACCCTTTCTCCAAGAATCAGTCCACATACATAGATAGATAGATAGATAGATATACATTGTTGCAATCTTCTAAAACAAAGTGTGGTTCACAAAGCTCAGTATGTGTACATCGAAATGTTTCGTACCGGCACTGAGGAGGAAGCTGCAGCACCAGAAAGTCAATACACCAGCACGCCAATATGGTGCAAAACATTTGCCCATCTAAACGGGCATTTGACTTCCTGTCGTTCACTGCCACATCCAAATACATCCCAGATCTTTCATTAAACCCATGCAATGCATAATATGAGCGTCAGGAACTTGTTTAATAACACTAGCAAAATGGACAGGAGTCTTGATATCGTTTATGAGGACTAATTGTTTTCTTAGTTAACAACGCCCACCCGAGTGGATGCACTGTACCACTTCATTTTAAAGAGCTAATTCTGCTGTCAAGTAATGATAGTGTCTACAGTACACGGCTATGGCAATCATGAGTGCCTAATAGTGAAATGTAGTCCATATCAAGACGTCTGCAGTTTAGCATCAGCTCTCACAAAAAGAACTCGTCGCTGTTGGGTCTTCATAGTAGCCGGAGTGTCCAGCTGCAGAACCTAGATGCAGAGAATATGCGGGTATCTCAATCAACTATGTCCATAAGGATAGATCAGCCTAAATTAAACACGAGAGACCAGACCATTATTTTCTGGCTTCCAGGAAGACTATAAAATCACCATTACTAGTTCCGACTCTGATCCAACTTCGAGTGAACGGGAAAAAGGATCTATTTGCTTCAGGCCAAAAACTCCAAAGCATAGATGAGGGACCAAATGGAGAAAAAAGGACCGTCTCTACACGATAGGGTGGCTTATTAAATAATGGCCATCATGCACAGAATCAGGATCTCAAAACATGCGCCATTAAGCACGATTGCAAAAGCACGAATCTACAAGCTTACTTCGAACTTCGCATGTAGCTGTTTACCATCAGTTTAGTTGATGAAAACCTAGACATGGCCTGAGCGTTACATCAGACGGCCAGTTTATGAAAGTTAAAACTTAATAGCTCCTCTCTAAGTTCCTGACAACTTTCAATACAAACCTGCAGCTATTGAAGCCTGCCATGCAAGAGAAATCAAGTTACCCTGGCAGTAACCATGGGAAATTTGCAAAGAGAACGCATTGTATGAGCTTCGATATGAATATCTTTAAATCCAAGATTACCTAGATGAATTAATTTTCCAACTTCACTCTCACAATAGAAGTTCACAGTTCCAGTTATGAGCTCAAAACCTCCTACTCATTGGCAAACTACCGTGATCTAGCACTAGGTAACGTAGGGCCTATAGGAATAGAAGGTCCTCTGTGATGAAGCACCTCAAGCAGAGGATAGGTGCTTGGTGACCGGCGACTGGTAATCATGTATTTTTCAGTCTCTTGTCGGCCCCAAATGACAATGTAAAGGCCTGCTACGATCAGTGATCCACCAACGACACTGCAATACCACTCAAACAAGATGTTAAGGGCAACATCCAAAGAAATGTAATATCGCTGCAGTTTGAATCATATGACAGAAAACGACTGAAGACTTTGAACTTCCTGAGAACAGAATTTCATCAATTCAAGACGCAAATCCTCACAAACCAAGCTACAGTATTCGTTAATGAGAGTGTCAAGTCAACTTGTGAAGCTCAAAACACTAAATCCCTTGTTTGGGTCTCTGTAGGGGTGCAGTGATCCGGGAGCTCACTGACAATGAGACAATAGATCCCCGCTTTCAGAGACAGCATTCGCTTTAACAACAAATCGTGTTTATTAACAAGACGAGAAATTTAATATTTAGACAAAGTATACAAAACTATAGGAGAACATGGAAATTTCCCAAGGTCTCAGCACTTACCTCCCCATGTACAGCGAACTACCCAAAAATATTCGAGAAAGAATTGATGAAGCGACTGGCTGGAGAGGAATATACAGAGCAACAAGAGATGGCCCCACCATCTTGTTTGAGTAAGTAAGCAGTCCATAATTCACAGCTGATGCAACAATTCCCTGCAAAAGCACAAAATGCCTTTATTTCCAAGCAGTTGAATTAACATAGAATGAGGAATATAACCTATTGAAGTAAATAAAGAGGAGAGTCGATGCAAAATACTAGCAACATAACGTGTTATCTTACTGTTCAAATAACCTGAAAGCATACAATCTTGAATGAAGTCATCAATTTTTACTGAAAGTGAACTCTCACATTACTCCAATCACGAATAACAGATCTCAATTTTTAAACCAACACTTCCAATTATCAAAGCACTACAAGTAACGAAGACACTGATAAAAAATAGACACAATACAGGAGGATGGGTTAGAAACACTTGCAGCATAAAAAACGGCGAAAGTTTCTCCACCAGTGAGGTTCCAGTCAGCCGGTTCATTGGCAAAAAAGAATCCAGTCATTGACATAAGACATGCCCCAAACGCATAAGAAAACGCTGTCATAGAGAGACTAGCAGGATAGCTGGCCAGCAATGGAGCCTGCAACAGAGAGGACGAATCTTCTCAAAGGTTTGATCCATTTTCATATTAAGTAAGTCACAATCGACTACCGGGATAAATCAACTCTCAGGACAAGGTTGAATATCTTACTGAATAACGTCACCTTGCATGCTTTAATATTTAGAATGATAATATCGCATCGTTTAACAACTAAAAAGGTAAGAGCACGTGACGATTAAGATTAATGCGCAACGGAGAGGCGTGAAAAGACATTACAAAATGTATTGAGAGATCAGACTTCAGCAACCAAACATAGATAAGTACCTGAAAGACAATATACAAAGCCATGCACAAGCTGTTACCAATCAAGCAGAGGACACCAATATGCCAAAGGTCAATGCCCAAATCAATCAGGACGGCTGCAAGCCATCCAACAGGTTCGGGAGCAGGTTTGCCTGCAACAGCCATCCCTTGCAGATGTAAATCAGAGAACCCATCGCCGAGAAGAACAGGACCCTTGCAAAGAGTCATGAATAATGCACCAGCAACACACACTATCACTCCACCAACTTTTGCTCTGCCATCTGCTCGTCCCCAGTGCACAGTCTCTGTTCTGTTGAATCATAACATGCCATTCTACGTACGATCAATAAGAAGCTGCAACTTCATACAAGAATCTACAAGGCGATATTTTCCGAACTGATAGTTTAAGTATATCCAACACAAGTAATAAGACTAACACAATTACCAGCACATCGCAAGAGAAGAAGGTTACAACCACCACGAATTAATAAATGCTCATTGTACACAACATCCCTCTCTCAATCGAACATATTTGCTTCATACCCTCGAGGTCTCATTTCCCATGCTTTATCGAGTTTTCAAGGTAAGATAAAAAAAAATTCATCAAAGATGGCAACTGACCGGAGCAATACCGCTAGTAAGAAAGTGAACACAGGAATAAGAGGCTGCGTAGCAGCAGCAAAAAATGGTGATGTGAGGTTGAGCCCCAGCGTAAAAAGTAACTGATTCGCAAAGATCCTGAAAATTCAAAAAAACAGAATCATACCTCAGAACACAGGATTTAAAGAATTCCTCATTGATTCATTAAGATTCGCCATTATATCACAAACACAATATTTAACGAAAAGAACTAAAATATGGTAGTGCTTTGAGAAGAGTGGACTCACCCTGTTAACCCGAGGAAAAAGAAGGAAAATAAGAAGTAGATTGACATCGGCGGTCGTACCCTCCTTCATTTGCAAGGGACAAAAAGAAACATTAAAATCACTGTGAAATTCAAAAGAGCAAGAGGGGAATCACGATTATTCGCGATTAATGGGCTCGAAGCAAAGATAACTATTAATACTCGAACTTCAGTGCTGAGATCACGCTTATACAAATGCTTTCAGCTGTGATTCGCATAGAAGATACGTCAAGAATCATCTCCAATAATGATGCACGTGATATACAACAGTAGCAAGATGTATTAACGACTCACTCAAATTATCGGCTAAAGTGACACAACTTTGCTCGAATTACAAATTCTTCGACAACTGTTTTCGTGTGATGAGGAAGATTCCTCCAGAAATGTTACAAGAACGACGATGACAAAAGGTTTCTGAACTTGGACGTACTTTTCAGAATAATATGCCAGCGGCCCCAAAATCGACAGTGCAACCAGGTCTCGCAGCACACAGAAGACCAGTTGATTGAGCCCCACACTCAACGCTAATTTTGTAATTACATGGTACCCGCCATAATTTAGCTGCACTAAGACCAATGCCGCGTGGGGCTTCCATGCGTCTCCAGCCATTGCTCTATTCCCAAGCGTCTGCGGTTGTGCTCCTAAACCATGCTCCTGCGCAACAATTTAATAGAAGAAGTGTCAAGACGATGCTCTCAAAGATTTACTTACAAAAATATGTTCAAGTTGAAACGAATCCTCGGATTCAACAGATACCAAGCACATAGTACAACACACATTCTCAAATCGGGGTTTAAGTAAAACAATATTGAGGAGATAAGCAACATCAATTTAACTCCTGATGAGATAATCCGCTGCAAGTATAAAACTATCGACAATGCCTACTGCAATAAACTGCAAAGAAGAGCACTTCGAAGACAAAGAGGTACACGATGTAGCCGTGGCACCAACCTGCTCACTAATACACTATTGTTTGCTGTTCTTAAAGTTGCAGAGGCCCATACTTATTCCGCTGCACTGTAATTTTTCAGCCCACAGCAATGACACACTTTTAGAGTATACGGTACAGTAAGGACATCCCTCAGCTGCAAATTTCCACATCTGACTCAGCATGCAATTCATGACGGACAAGAGGAATCCAGCCCAAGCCACCCAGCCGTAAGAAATTGTGACTCCCAGTAATTGACGTGCATGTGACATGGACCATCCATTTAGAAAATGTTCAGTACATAGGTTCCGTGACGACGTTTTGGAGCATTGAAACTCATGACTGCTGCGGAAGGAACGCTTGTCACGATACATTCATGATTTCTATTGCGGCAATTGAGTGGCACCTGTGAATCTCCTCGCTTTATTCGCAAACTGCCAGGATTACCGCTCAAGGCGACTCGTTCAAGACCCCGAACAATCCCTACACCAGCATGCTGATATTGGCGTCTTTCTAATTAGACGTGCTTTATCACACGTGGCTTCCTCGGTTCTTCCAATTAGATAGTCAAACTACTGATTTCGCCTTCAATCTCTCTGAATATGATGACAGAGAAAACCACTGCTTCAGGCCATTTCCAATCCGAAGTTCACGAAGTACGAAAAAAAAAAAAAAAAAAAAAAAAAAAAAAAATCGCGCTCTCCGCTAGGCTCGAAATAATCAATCACCAGGTCACTCACCACAATCCCTACAACCACTCCAAAGCAGGAAGTAAATTTCAATAAAAAGCACTCTCGTCCTCGACACAAACTTAACAGAGGCGGCACATGTACAGCCGGAAAATAATGCCACCAAAGCGTGCATTCCTCACGAAGCTCGAAAGCAAAACAAAAAACAATCAAAAACAAACCATTAACACTACGAAACGCCCTTCCTTACACCATACAAGTAGAAAGAGAGTTTACCTCCACCGTATAAAAACACAGATCACCTCATCCCCCTCACCTCGAACCTCAAGACATTCCAGCAACACCAAGTCTCAAAAAACTCACCACTCCGATCCTCTCATCGCTAAATGGGATATGAAACTCCAAACACACAATCAACCCCTACCGAGTACGAACACCAACTCTCGAGAAATGAACATCGAGTTGATTGTTCCCCGCCGCAGCACCGTTCGAATGAAGGGATCTCCACGGATTCCGACCGACTGCGTAGAAGCGCTCGCAAGCTCTGGGCACTAATTCAGCAATGCAGTCAGTGCAGCGCTAGGTCTCTCGCTCTCTCTCGCTCTTGTGCAGGGAGTCCACGCCGATGGAATTCTACGAAGGGGCGCCAAAGCTGTGAGCCTCGTCGTTCGATGCATTCCAAGACCTCCAAGTTGCCCGCGTGTGAACGGGGTCCAATCCACAGTGTTTGCGCCCACGTAGGATTTTGAAGGCTCAAAATGTTGCTAATGCCATGAGAATAAATTGCATTGATAAATTTCGACTCTCAGAAATCCAACGAAGGTGACAGTCCTTGTTGTGCGAGAGTAGAGAGTGTGGGAGCTTGAATGCTAACGTGAAGTGGGGAATCCATTTTTGGGAAACACTCCTTTTAGTGCCTTGAATAGAAAGCATCCATAAAACTTTTGGACTTGTGTAAGAATCCCTTATTTTGGTCCTTTGACGGTATCTTTGCATGCTCTCGCTTGGGTCTCCTTTGATATGAATGCTTTTCCTACAATTATGTTGGCACTTCATATCTACTACTAATGTTTTAATTTGTTTGTTCTTCTCTTGTCGATTAAATCTTTCAAAACACTTTAAGTAATGTTGGTGTTTGTATTTGTAAGGTATTAAAATATATTTATTGTAACATTAAATTTATTGAATCCAATATTTACACTACTAAGTTAATTAGTGTTTCATTACAAAAGACTTGACAAATAATGTTTGCACATAGAAAATGTTACATTTTTAAAATTTTAGTAATATAAAATGTGTCATGACTTTTATTTTTGGTACATGAATTCTATTAATGTGAAGTCCAATGATTATGTGAGCATTAAAATTTCTTAATTATGAATACTAGGTGCATAATTTGCATATAATAATACTTTTTATGTCTTTTATATCAATGATGTGTATTTAAACCATGAGATATTTTGTGGTTAATGATCTTACATTAAAAAAAATAATGTTTTAAGAACTTGGTTAAAACGTCTTTTTATCTATGTGGTTTCTGCGCTAATCAACATGTTTGTGAGAACATTCAAGTGAGTGAAAGATGCAAAATTTGAGTAAATATATATGTTTTTGTATACGTCATATGATTACTTTGAATAGGTTACTGGAAGCTTTGACAACAATACAATTAATACAAACTTTGCTAACAATAATAATATCAACTTGCAATTTCAACACATATTTCAAAAACAATGTTGAAATTACATGTTTTTGTTAGACAGTAAAATATCAAATATGTTCATAGTCACTTTCAATCTAAACTTTACATTTGTCAATATCCATTGATCTACAACTTGTACACCCTTTTTCATAAATTCACCACACAAGATTCCAACTTTATGTTGAAACTATGTAAAATTGATGCACTACAGACATGACGCATGGTGATTTCAACACTTCGACTGGGACATGGGTTTCATTCGTTTTTCATCCAGATGTCATCCGCCCTGATTTTTAGGGCTTGAAGCTTGTCTTCGACACACTCCCATGAAGTTGTCCAGCGCTTGCGTTGTCGAGAGGCTGCTTGCGAAGGAGCTCCATCACGTCAGTGAGAGCCTTTACTTGCTAACTCCTTGGTGTGCGGGGCTCCGCTGGCGGCACAAAATTCTCGGTGAGGCAACGAGGCTTGTGCAGCCAGCTTACAGGATTTGTGAGATTCTTTTCGCTGTGGCATCCACTCGTTACTTCGCCTTCACATGAGGCAGCTTTTTTCGTCGCCTCCTGACTCGTCTGCTACCACTTCTCCCCGACGGTATTGCGAGCGTCAGAAGCGGAATCCGTAATTATCATTTCAATGATCTGCCTTCCTTCACGATTCAGTTTGACACGTTAGAGCGCCTAAAAATTTAAATTAGAAATGAATGCGACGTGTCTGCTGCATCATGTAAACATGCATTGTATGCGTCAATTATGTGTTTATTTATTTATTTATTTGAATATGTTGTCGGAGCTTGAACTTTAGCTTCGTGATAAGCATCTAGCGGGACCCATTTGTGAAAGTAAACACGTGCCCAACTTGAACATTTAATACTCATATTTGTCGTTAGATTAAGATCCGACTGATTTATTCACAACTGTGTCAAAGATCTTAATCATGACTTGTTTACAAGATATTATCTATGCTGATCGAAGTTATGTATTTTTTACACCGAATTGTTATATTATGTTATGTTCTTTATTTATATTTTTCAGGGAGATAGAACTTATGCAACAAACATGTAAGTATTTTCACAACAAGATGGATTTGTACTGTCATTTGGAAAATATGAAACATAGTTAATGAATGATATGATTACTATGTTTCGTATTTTCCAAATGGCAGTACAAATCTATATATTTACTATGTTCATTCACTATGTTTAATGAGTTGAAGCATATTCACCTACCTGTTGTTCTATAACAATGTTATCTGTCAAAATCGGAGTTTCGTAGTCCATTTTTCATCATTGTACAACATTCAAGTCATCAATAAAAATTCTGCATTTAAACATCATATAAATAATAATATTGTGTTTGATTGTCGTTGTATTTCTTACTTTGAAAAAAACTAGCATGCTATCAAAATTTTGAAAAAGTATTTGGCAAGGATTTCTAATTAGTGCAACTGTAAATGCCATGTAATTTAAGTCCTATACTTAGATCATCTACCAATATTCCAAGACTTTAATCAGTCAATTTGGATTTTATGCTAATGTCAAAAAAAAAAATGCTTATATATATATATATGTATATATATGTGTGTGTGTGTGTGTGTGTGTGTGTTTGCATGAGAATTAAGGTAATTTGTAACGATGCTCATTGACGTTCAGTTCTACTAAATTTGATGGAATACATGTGATTAAAGTGTATAATTTTGGTGTGAGCATTAACTACTCAATATGGTACAAGTGAATAGACATCAACATACTCTACACACATTCGACCATCGCACATTAAATCTATATATATATTAATATCGACATTCAGGGTTAGTACAGGGGAACCAAATTCCGGCAACCGTGTTCAATCAGGAAATCATCAATCAACTATGGAATCTGTCACCAGCCAACAAACTCTCCCCCACACGCCACAAAAATGGTGCGGGACGAAATAAACAACGGATGAACGTAATCCAAACGGATGAATACGTGACTGGGCATTCCTACCCTACAACTGGCGAACCATGAGAATGACATGGCACGTCCTGATTGGAAGAAAAAGGTCCGATTACGTGGACGGCGAGGAAGAGTGGGAACACTATGGGCACTATTGGGAACGTGTTCTCTGCATTCCTGTCCCCGCGAGTTGAACCCTAGCGCACTGACTGAAGCTCAGTCGGAGCTCGAGTGTTGTCAAGGCTATGGCGATCAGCTACTACGAGAGCGTTTGGTTGTGATTGCAGCTGCGCGCTCTCCAGTCCATGCAATCAGGTGGCATTGTAAGGAGCTTTGTGCGGTGGTGGGAGCATTTCGTCAGCCTTTCCGCGATCTGGTTTGTAGCTGGCGCTGCGTGTTGGGAAGCTTTTGAGTAAAATTTGGAATCCAGATGAGTTAAGAGGTTGTGACCTCTCTGGTGCAGATCTGTCCTCGATGTGTTTTGGTGAACTGGTTTCAGGGTCGAATTCCAGGGCACATTCTGGTGGAGACATATTGTAGCTGTTTATCTTCGTTTTGGTGGTGTGTGCGACGATTAGGTTTTCGCTTCATCGGAATTCCCAATGTGGATCGGGAAGGTTTCCGTGTTCTTGCTTCTTTTCTCGGTTTCAGTTGTAGAGTTAGTTTCCGCTGGGAAAAGTTACTATGACATTCTTCAAGTTTCGAGGCAGGCCTCAGACGACCAGATTAAGCGTTCGTATCGTAAGTTGGCTTTGAAGTTTCATCCTGACAAAAATCCTGGAAATGAAGAAGCGACTAAGAAGTTTGCAGAGATAAATAATGCGTATGAGGTTCTTTCTGATAAAGAGAAGCGAGGGATTTATGACCAGTACGGTGAGGAAGGGTTGAGAGAGCATCAACAGGGGGGTGGCCGCGGTGGTGGAGGATTTGGTCAAGATATTTTTTCACAATTTTTTGGGGGAGGATTTCGGTTTGGCGGCGAGGAGGAAGAGGAGGAAAGAACTCCTAAGGGAGAAGATGTGTTGGTTGAAATATATGCCACACTGGAAGATCTCTACGTCGGAAATTCATACCAGGTCAGAATACATTCCTATTCGGTTTTTCTTCCCACTCACCTCTTACGCTTCATTACGCTAGCTTCTAGTCGTTTAAGTTTCTAAATTTCGATAACCTGCCTCAATCAACCCTCATCTGATAATTCACATTTAGCACGTAGAAGGTGCTCAGCATGCTCCTTGCGTGCCTGCCTTGGAGCTGTAGGGGTAAGGTAGTCCTTCGCATTTTGGAGCGTAGGTTAATGAACGCATCCCTCGCTTGCTGGTGTTCCCTGCTGATTTTATCGCTCGATTACATGGGTTAGGATTGCATGCTAGCAAACGGGTCTGTGTGTCTCGTAAACGCCAAGTTGAGAATTAAACGTGTCTAGGTTAGCCAACGATTCGGTTGATCATCATTTATGAACGAAAACACTGAAGACTCATGAGTGCTCTTTAGCGTGGTTGGAACAAGGACAGATTGAAATCATTATTTCTCGAGACCATCAGCAGCGCATTTTACATTCTCCTTCCACAAGTAGTCTAGAGTGATTATATTTTATCATGCAGCTATTAATTCACTAGAAGGTTAATTATATCAACTTGTCTGTATTTTTTGCAAGCTTTCTTCAGCTAGTTATTAGAGCTTTCTCGTTAGGGTTCATTTGGATTTCTAAGTGAGTGATATGCAAAGCATAGGATGTAGTTCTCCTCATATAATATGAGTAAATTCTCGTGGTTTTGTTGGTTCTTTGTACTTTGTGCGCCTACTGTATTAGTCTTATAAGTATACTGTGGTGGTACTTTCAGGTATGGAGGGATAAGAACGTGGTGAAGCCCGCTTCTGGAAAGCGTAGATGTAACTGCAAGAACAAAGTTGTTCATCGACAGATTGGACCTGGGATGTATCAACAGTACACAGAGCAGGTCTGTCAGGAGTGCCCCAACGTGAAGTTTGAGCGCGTTGGCCAATTCTTAACGGTAGATATTGAGAAAGGAATGCGGGATGGCCAAGAAATTATCTTTTATGAAGATGGAGAACCTATCATTGATGGAGAGCCTGGAGACCTGAAGTTCATTGTTCGCACTAAACCTCACAGTCGATTTCGTAGAGAGGGAAATGATCTTCATGTAACAGTTACCTTAACACTTTTAGAATCACTCGTGGGTTTCAAAAAAAATATCGATCATCTTGATGGTCACAAAGTAGATGTTGGAAGTAATCTAGTTACGAAACCCAAAGAAGTTAGAAAATTTCCAGGAGAAGGCATGCCATTGTTTGAAAGTAACAAGAAGGGCAACCTTTTTGTTACGTTTGAGGTCGTTTTTCCATCATCATTGTCAGACGAGCAAAAGTCTGTTATATCAAAGACATTAGGATCCTAATTAGGTTGCCAGTACTTGATTCCAATAGGTAATGTGAACCAGTTTATTTCTCTTGTGGTCAAGTATTCCATTTATAGAACTTTGTAGAAATCAATTGAGCTCTTTTTTGTACCTGCAAAGTTAACCATCTCATTAATACAATGGTGGAAGTAGTTAATTTGTTTTTGAACATTCTCCATTCCTTCGTTTAATGTGTATTGATGGAATTTCCCAGTAGTTAATATCTTTACTTGCTTCCTAGTGAATCAAGTTGCTTTCTGATAGATTTATACTCCGAATCTCTACACTGATGGAAATGGCAAGATAGAGAAGCGATGAATTTTCGCCTACACTAGTTTTCATTTCTCCAGTGAGGTGTGATGCACCCTCTACTGAGTCATCGAAGAATTTCTTATTAACTGATGGTTTAACAGCTTTGATGTAATTATGTGATGTAAATATGTCCTGAAAATAGTTCTTACTTTGGGTTCCTCTCTGTACTCAAGCAGATGAAATGTTTGATGCTTGGGGCTTCTCTACACTAGGAGTAGAGGCCAATTTGAAACCAAGTAGTAAAGTTCATTCTTCTCATGGATAGAAAAGTGGGTTGTCCCAGCACCTTCACACGAAGAGGGGAAGCTCAAATTTCAATGCATCAAAATTAGTTTCCATGGGCAGAAGGCGAAGAGAAACTGTCAATGTAAATACCCAACCAACTGTCAATCCTGATGCTGTTTTGAAGTCAACTTTTAATCTCCTCTTGGCCCCACCCCTACAGTAGCGCAACCATGCGCAGCAACCAATCTGTAAACGGCAGTTTTCTAACACGACCATGAAAACTTTTCAACCACTCTTACACAGACTACGAAACTGACTGGCCTTCGTCCTTCAGTCACCAGTTAATAAGCCATTCATTGTATTAACAAAACACATGAATCTGTGTGGCCATTATCTGCAAGAGCTTCGGAATGAGCTATACAAGTTAAGGTTACTAATCTATTCGAACCGCTTGGCTCGTGTGGCACCGCATCCGAGCTTCTTTCATAATCAGACCAGCTCTGATTACAACAGCTTTAGACACTATAAAGGAAAAGTATTACCAAATCCAGAGACGTGAGTTGCATTAGAATAGTTTCTTTCACTATGTAAAATTCAATGGAAATTGTTATGAATAAACTTTCATAACTATATTTGGTCCCTGGAACATTCCTTTTTTCCATTGTTGTGAATCAAGTCAATATTATGTCAGTTTTTATGTCAATATTAGAAGACTTCTACTTGAATTGATGATTGATACAGATTGACAAAAATAGCTAAATGTTTTAATATTGAATTTTTTTAAATATAAAAGAACATTGGTAATGTTTGCAAACTGCCGTGATAATAAAATAGATTTTATTAATACTATTTTTTTTCCTTACTTATTGTCAAAAAACACATATGTAAAAATAACACATACATATTTAAATATTTTAACACTCATGACATTTATTTTCATAATTGATTTTTTGAAGGAGTCTTTCATTTAAATAATCAAATCTCTTTACAAAGATATAAGAATCCTAACCATAATTGATATGTGGGCCAACTCAAATTAAGCTTAGAAGGATTCTAAGTTCAAGCAAGTGTGATTGGCAAGAATATAATCAAAATAGACTCTCTATTGGCAATTAGAAAAAAAGAAATAATAAAATCATAACATATTATAAATGAATTATTTACAAAATTTTTTTATTAGTTGCAAAATGTATATACTTTGAAATAGTCTAAAAAATAATTTTATTTAGAAAAAATATAAAAATATAAAAATATATCAAGAATAATTTATTTATATTTGAATTGCTATGATTTATATTTTAGGAATTTAAGTATATTGATAGTTGTTAATTAATCTATTCTTTCTAGAATATAGCAAAAAAATACCTAAATTTTGTCCAAATTGCTTGAATTTCTCAAAATTACTTCAAAAAAGTCCATATTACAAAAGAAAAAGAAAAGAATTTACTAAATTGTCTCAAAGTTATTTTTTCATGCTTGTTGAAGTTTTATATTACAAAAACCATAATTGAATAAATCCAAGATATAGTACATATAAAATATATTATGCAGTGTATACTCTACTTTCATAGGTAAATTATTTTTCTATTTTAAATTTAAAAACAATTTCTTTTGGAAGCATCTTAATAAATATATTGACTATTATTTCTTTATTCAAAGAATATTTGAATGATACTTGTGCTCTGTCTACTTATTTCTTCTTCAATCAATATAGGATATTAAAATGTAAGTTATATTTATAATGCAATAGTTTTTTTTTTTTTTTTTTTTTTTTTTTTTTTTTTTTTTTAATTCCTATATTCAATGTATTGTTCTTTTAGATTATTATAAAAATTCATCATCAATAGATTTACAACATTTCATTTTCTTTTGCAAGAGAAGAATACAATATTAGTTTTTTTATTATAAGAATATATTATAATAATAGTCTTTAATCTTAAAGCATATTTATCAACTAAATATCTTATTACATAGCAACCTTTCTATTCTACTTTACTAAAACACTTTAGTTGTAAGCTTGCATCATTACTATTGTATTTGATTATCACATGTTTTCTTCATTATAAGTATTTAAATAAAGTTTTTTTTTTTTTTTTTTTTTTTTTTTTGAAGTCATATGAAAAAATTATAGATTTTATAGAATGAAAATAAATTCAATTTTCATATTAGAATTGAAATTTGTTTTACTTTATAAACAATAAATGTAATAAATTTGAGGAGTTAATAAAGCCACATCCCTATGTCATACTCTCTCTTGTCATCTCATGATTGATTCCGTCCATCTCTTGTTCCTAGTTCCTTGTCTTAATTCCCCTCCCTCATTCTCAAGGGAGGTGGGTAGAAGGGGGGGATATGACTAAGAATGGAAGATGGACAAAATCAATCATGAGATGGCAAGGGAGATGTGGTTTTAACAACATTGAGTTGTGGCTTTAAAAACCTAAATTTATATTGCTAAAGATTGGTTCTTTATGTTTTAATATGCAAAGTTTAAATTATAATAATTGACATACTCTTACAATCCTTATTTAGTTTTTTCTCTCACGATATAACCAATGCAATCCCCTTTGTATTACAAAATGCACTATTACTTAAACATCATGCTATCTAGGACTTGGAAGTGTGGATCAAAGCACATTATCTTCAAAAACCATAATAATGCTAAATATGACACATGAGGTGATGTACATTAGTTTTTCATAACCTAGATTAGTGTACTATACAATTAAAAACTACTGCTAAATGTATGTTAAAATAATTTTTTTTTCATTTGTTCACATTATTTTTTACTTACTAAAAAATTAGTAAGAATAATAATTCACAGTGTGTGACCTTTAAGAGTAATTTAAGTAAAAGATGACGGAGGACGCAGCTGTTGTGGACCTTGCAACTCATTCGGTAAAAAGAACGAGTCTTATGCTGACTGCAAAACGCCAGAAAATAGTAGTTCAGAGCAGCAGCAAAATGCCAGTTCGGTTCTCTCAATAGCCCACAAGGATGGATCCCAAGCTTGCACAAGTCTGGCTGAACTCGTGTGTTAATAGTAACATATGAAGGGCACAATTTTTTATTAAACGATTGTAATAAATTTGATTAGTAGCTTTCAAGCTCGATTGTCCAACACAGCAGTGCACTAGCAAAACATCCTCTCAACCTTCCATAATTTATGTTTTCTTTCGCTTTTCTTTGAACTCTACAATTGAATCATCAGGGCCGTTAGTGAGAGGCTTCTAAATTGCTTTCTGCAACTAGTCCTCTGCGTGCATGATTGATTTCATATGTGTGTACATTGTTGTGACTGAACCTATCTGGTATAAAATACGGCAAAGCAGTGAAAGGTTGAGCTGTGTAATGCTTAGAAGGACTTAATGAAAAATAGCCATAAAACGCTAGTGGAATATTGTTCATAGTACATTATCGAATGGTTAATAACAGCTATAACGGCTTAGAAATGTAAATGAGCATAAGGTAGTCACCAGTACAGTAAAAAGGGGAGATCCTAGCAGTAGCAATATGAAAAATTAAAGAATCGTACACTTCCCAAAAGTGACTGTCCTTATCAGGTGCTCTCCACCTTTCAGAAGTCTTAACAATCGGCTGCTTGCCCTGGGCGATTCATGGCTCCCTTCCTCTGTTTCGTGCTTTGAGTGTTGATGTTGATCCATAGATGCTATCGGAAGTTCCTCGTTGACAACAGTCTTCTCATGGATTTCGCTTACGGGCTTTACCTCTTCTAGCCCCTCAGAGAGTTCTCCAGGTTTTAAGTCAAATAGCCCTTTGAACTGTTTCTTAGCTTTCAGCTCAGCTTCCTACGGTAATAACAGGTATCACAGGTGAAAATTAAAAGCTGTAAAAAGGACAATCTTTGAAGAATCCAAGCTCTCTAATAGTATATCGATAAACAAAACCTAGGATATAAGAACAACCAAAAGATATATGCAGATATGTAACGTTTTACTCGATAGTGTTTGGCTCGATATTTATTTATTCATGAGAGTTTCAAGGATAACTGTGCCTAGCTGCTGATAACATACCCGTTCTTTTTGCTTGAGCTTCTGTAAAGCAGCAGTTGCATCAACTGTGACAGCCTTGTCAACTGTTATCATCTGCCAAAAGCGAGGTTTAGTGGAAACCTTCTCACTTCTAGATCTATGCACGCCGAATATCCAAAAATGGTATTTGATATAACCTCTTTTATGGGGACTAATTCGAAAGGCTAACATCATGACAAGAGATTGAATAAACCTGCTTGAAATCAGCTCTAGCTTCATCAAAGTCCCCCGTTTCCATGTAAGCAGTTCCTCGGCGAAATAACCCTTTGACATGATGCGGGTTACCTTCTAGCACCTATTATTCAGAGGAACCTCAAACTATTAGCTACCTCTAATTAGCTTAAGTGTGGAAAAGAAGAAGAAACTGATGCTTACTGAAGCAATAATTTAATTCAAGCTCTCTCTTCTGCACAAAAATAGGCTTTAAATCTAATGTTAACAAGCGTACATATATGATTAGGTATTAAACTAGGCCGACGGTGTGACTCAGGATATATTTAGGGAGCTTACCTTGTTGCATGTTTCTATGCATTTGATGTACTCATGGAGTTTATGATAACAAGCTGCTACATTAAGCTGCAGTGCGTTCTGAAACAAGACCCACATCACACTTAGCGGTGATATTTTGCACTAATCATGTGGCAAACTTACGTACATCTATGGTCATAATTCGTGATCGGCAGTGAAAATTTGAAATTCAGTACTCTAGGATCAACATTGAAATCTTCAAGGTATATGATCCTTACATTGGTGTCTTGTAGTTCCTTTGCTTCTTCATCACTGCCAGGGTTTACATGTCTGAAATCCCTCAACACCTGTCGGAAATACAAAAGTGGAAAAGATGTCATATGTCTTTAGCTCATTCAAAGGTGAGAATATCAATACCAAACCATGTCAGCTTAAAACATAAGATAGAGCTTTACAATCCTACATTTGATAGCAAGTCACAGGAACAGTATTAAGATTCCGACAAAAAAAAGAAATCCTAAAATAGGAAGACACTCCTCGAGTCGTTTCACATCCACAAAAGTCCTGGGGTCTCGCACATGTTTCAACCACTACTTTAGCCGATAACAAACAGGAAGTTGCAGACACGACTGATCATGTCAATTATCAGTTCATGCAAATGCAGCTGAAACAACAAATGCAATGCAAGTTGGTGCCAGTTTCGACAAAACCATAAAATTCAGCATTCCTTCACTTTAAGACAATATTGCAATTGATTGTTAACTGCTAATGAAGAATATTTTGCAAAACCAAACTAACTTAAAAAGTTGAATTGTTTCTAACACGAGGCAATAAATTACCTTTTCGTACTTAGCTTTAGCCAGCTCGTGCTTGCCCTCCTTAAATAACCGGTTACCCTGGAAAATGTAACGAAATAATCAACATCATGCCTGAAGCCGCCATCCTGTTAAAAACTATAGGGGTAGTTTATGCACAACCTACCCAGCTCTATAACAGTGGAAATCACTACAAAGCAACCTCACGTTCTTTACAAAATTTTAAACATAACAATGCACTAGATGAGCCAGAGGGCTTACTGTGGTCTTTATGGAATCAGCTTCAGCCATGATCTCTTGAAAATTAAGGCCCGTCCAATCCTGATATGTCAACGAAAATCATCCCAGGTGAAACTTTATCAACAACAACTGCGCAGACCACATCTGCTTGATTTCTGTGAGTTTTATGATAAAATCACAGGTAGGACACCTAGGGCATGGCAGATCTACATATGAATTTTGATAGTTACAGAAATAAGAGTGGCATGGAGAGTTATGTAGCAAGATAGCAATACTATTGTGAATTTTAAGATCTCACCTTTGCACTCTCAAATTCCAGTAATTCCACTTCCCATTGGACTGAAGCTCCCTCTGGAACACTCTCTGGCCTGCACACCAGCAATTTAAGCATTCAGAAGGAGCTCCCTCCAAGCTTGAACAAGTTAGAACTTCCAGAATAATTGTATAATCATTAGAAGGAAACTCATTTCCCTACCTTTGAAATTTGTCATATGCGTACTTAGAGACGCTGTTGATCAGTGCAAGCTCCCCCGGAAGCATCAACCTCAAACTTGCCTCAAGTCCCTCTGGTACCTGAAGAATAATGATAGAACAGAAAATTTGATGTAAGTAACATCTTTTTAATAATTTTTTTATTTACACAAAGGATAGTATGCTGAGCTAGACTGAAATCCAGAAGCACGAATACACTAAATTGCAGATTGCGGGGTATTTCCAAGCTAATACTAATCCATGACATCAAACCATCCAGTATCATAATCCTTCTAGGGCCGGACGTTGGGATTTCAGTGTATAATTGACCAAGAGCATTTAAGGATGAACTCAACATCTTATCCTTAAACCCAATTCAAGCCACAGCATCACATCTAATGCAGGGTTAGCAAAAAGAGGAAACAACATCGAATCCAGGTCTATGATGACTATTATATCAGGAAAAAAAGAAAAAAAAGAAAAGAGCATATAAGACCACGTACCACACCCTCACCAGAAGCAAACTCAACAGGCTCCCCTCCATTACTTCTGGTGTCAATAAATATTCTGCCGCCATCATCAGGTAGCATAGCCTTATAGTGGACTCTAAGCACACTATCTTGCAGAGGACAGTCCACAGGAAATTCACCTGTCCAAATAACAGCCCACTTCATTACAGCTACTCTAAAGAACACTGTTACTGTTAGAGGACACATACTCTAAGCGTGCTGGCCACCCTTCTTCAACACACCCATTTCAGCACCTAAGATAGGAAGTTAATATATATGTAGCTTTTTGCTTAAAGTTTGAATACTGATAGGGTTGAATGGATGATCTTAATTATTGAACTTGGCAAAGTAGCACAAAGAGATTTTTTCAACAGAGTTGCCAAGATTTCTTGAGAACATCCTGACACAAGTATTTCATCTACCAGGACGAGTTAAAGTTCAGGTAACCAACCTAGTCCATCTCGCAGGCGTCTCTTAATCAATCCTCCATCTCCAAACATGTCTCTTACCTGTTACAGTTAAAAATTGCATGTGAGACAAGCGATTCTCATACAAGAGAAAGCCCTTCTCATATCTAGGAGTAACTCTTACAGTGCAAAAGAAAAATTAACAATCATACTCTGAGCCTATATTGACATCTTGGAAAATCTTAGAAATGTCCCTGAATTTAAAGCTAATAAGAGCTTTAGAACACCAAAGAAGAGATGCACCAGGTGATCGCTTCAAAATTTCCGAGAGACATGGTAATGAAAGAAAGTTAAAACTGTTTTAGGCATGGATTTTCTTACCTGAATGAGCTGCACCAACTGCACTTCAAATTCTAGTTCTTGCGCTTGAGGAGATATATTCAATTTGTATGCATTTGAAGAATTCGTACAGTATGAACTTGAAATGTAGATAATTGACTTTTCTTTCCTCGTCATAGTGCCGACTGCCTTCTCAAGTCCTTCTGGCAACTGCAATAGCAAAGCAAGACTAATACACTAAGCTAAGCTCTTTTTACATGTTGATTATCACGCATGCCTGAAAGTGAGAAACTTGATCCGAAGTGGTTGCATCTCAGCTTGACTGTTGAGAGAAATACTTTTAACGTTGAACAGAGGTATCAAAAAAAGACTCTATGATGCTTAATCCTTACATCCATACAAACTCTGTATACTGCAAACAATGCTCCACATTGTCGCTCACCTGTTCCTTGCCGAATTCAACATGAATGGGATCGCACTCTTTATGAGTAAAAAATGTGGACCCACCTAAGATCCGGCCTGTAATCCTGTTCAAGCAAATATCAAGAATATCTATTGAATCATTCATTTGGATAAATAGGATACACAATTTTCGGTCATACCAATCTCACCAGCACAAGCACAGGCAATTGTATTATATATGATCGGATAAACAATATATCGTCGCAATACTAGCGAATGGACTACTTAAGTGACTTACGAACATCAACCGCCAAAAATCCAAAATATGATTAACTTCATCTACCCAGTTTAGATCACTTACCAAAGCTTCACCTCGTACGGAGGCCTTGCAGTTTCCCAGCCCTCACCCTCTTCTAAGACCTGTACAGATACCGTCAGCAAGCACTGTCAGAACTTCAACTGGGCAATAATGTTCTCACATTAGTCTCTGTTATCAACTTAAACTTAGTCACGATCATGCATATTAGTAAAGAGCATCAGATCATATTTAATTCTACAAAAATGACGAAGCTATCACCATCTATACAACGCAAACAAAGAAATATTGAAATAGTCATATGTCTACATGACTTCAATACATTTTTGTGACACATGCCATTTACCCAAAGGCGTGGGCCTTCTGAGCCAGGTGAAAGGTTTAATTAGAATTGTGAAATGGATCCATGTCAAATGAGTGATGCGTACCACTTTTGTCACACCAAGATCCTCTGTGATAATCTACACAAGACAACAGGAAATGGTAGAAGTAAACTATACATGAGAAATTATCTGAGGGAACTTAACCAAAAAACTGCACATAACCTCTTACGTTGCCAAAAAGATAACGCAAAACAAAGATTCATACAGACACTTTCTTTGATAGCAATCAATCAGAAAGGGAGATAAAACTGTCAATTTAAGGTACCTTCGCCTTACAGAAGTTGAACAACTCCACTTCGTAAAGGAGCTCATCAGAAACTGGAAAGTTCTCGGGCACTGGTACAGGACACTCCGGGTCACCATAATGTAATTCAGGTTGCACTTTCAGCTGCACACACAAATTGGGGGAATTATACAGGGATCACCCAATGTCCATGATCTCAAATAATACACCGCCGATGTTGAACAGAATGAAAGCACATACACTAGGTGATAATACGTGGTCGTGAGTCTTCCTTGCTTGTTCCGAAACCTACAAGATTGATGTGGAAAGGCCACACAATAACCATCACTAGGACTGGGCAACTTGCATGAAAAGAAAAAATATTCACTTGAGAGGAAAGTTATAAAAATATTACCATAGCTATTTCACCTTTGGCCATGGTGGTGATGCCTTCCTCCCATCCAGCAATCATTTTGCTTTTTCCCAGAACAAGTCTAAGAGGAACTCCCTTTCCTACAACAGTCACGTGGTAGACTTATGATTCGGATAAGAGAACTGTAAAATTGTCCTCAAAACTGACAGCCAAGAATTCACTCGCGAACAGTCTCTCTTCAAGCACAGGAACTGATTCGTATCCTGAATGATGCTGCTATAACTAAATAGGATATAAGACCATGCAGCCACTGACTGAAGACTCCTATGCGTTAAATAAATTCTTCAGGCTAGATTTGAAGCCTTTAAGAAATAGCCCTAGAATTGGTGAAGTGAGAGAATCAGAAAATAGTAATAACAAAAGAAGTGATTCCCTTTGCAACACTATCACGAATGGAGACCGTAACGAATTGAGAATTGGATGTGCCAGAGAATGAGATACACAAACACTGACCTCCAAAGTCAGATCGCGATGTCTCAACCACCACTCCCTGATTTGTTCGTGTGACATAATGGAAGATAATCTATACATGCAATATTCAAAATCAGAGCCAGACAAACGATACTGTCAATCTAAAAATAATCTTATTAACCAGTTTTATCTGTGAACATCTCATTCACAAGTTAGAATCAACACAAAAATTGTAATGACCAAAGGTATCTGACAATAGGCCACAGATTATGAGCACTCGTAATTTGGCAAAATGCTCAGGGTACTGAAACATCTCTCGTCTTCGATTCAATGACTTGCATCATCCACTATTTCACCTATTTAGGGCACTTTAAAAAGATAAATCTGATTTTTGAAACTCGTCACCACAAGCCCTATGTGGCTAGAATAACTAACATTCACAAATGCTGTTTTTCCCCTGAAGTGTCAATCCCGTCGAAATCGTTATAGTGTTTTTGCCCTGAAGGACCTGCTATAAAAATCACAGGACTTTGCAATAATTCTCGAAAGAAGCTGAGTCCCAATGTACACGTACCTGATCACCTTCTACAGGACGTTTAGTCCCCTCTCCAGACCTTACTACTGCCTTCAGCAAGGCCCCTGGAGTTATAACCCTCTTCTTCCTGCAGTTAGCGTCCGAAATCTTATCAGCGTCCAGGCCTATACGTTGTCACTTCTACAGCATCTTCACATACCATCGCAGAAGCAAAACCCTAGGGTGCATTTCAATTTCAAGTGCATCGTTTCCTCACATCGCACATTCAGCAACAATTTAAACCATGTAACCATCCAATTTTGCAACATTTAATGTGCACCAATGTTGTCTCTTAATTCACATTCAATCAATACAACGATAGTTGCAACTTCAAAACAGAGTCGTGATCAAAAAAAAAACTTACATCTTAGATTCCTTCTTCTTCAACTTGTTCGGAACATCAGATGAGGCGAGCTCCTCCATCGTCGCAGCAGATGAAGGCTAGGAAGGAGGCCCTGTTCCTCACTGATCACAGCCACAACTCAATCCTTGCAGTTTTCACACAAACAAAAATGTCTATCACATCATGACTGATCAAAGGTATAAAAATGAATAAATTACTCTCGTAAGTTAGCTCACCAAACGATTAAAGAAAAACTTGACTTATGAAAACCATCAATGTACACGATTATCCCGCATGAATCAAACGAATCGACCTGGTAGCTCAAAAATCGCGAGCATAAAACAAACGCAGCCAGAGGAGCTCTACAAGTCTAATAATGACCATGTATTTCAGCTGCTATATTGCAGCAGAATTTTTTTACGATTACAAAAAGACAAAGGATGCGAAGTTTCAGACTGTATTTCCCAACATTTTGGTAGCAAGTCTACAACCGGGACTTGCTACAGAAACCTCTAATTACTTGTGACACTGAAATAAAGATAATAATAATATTTATAATACGAAAGTAAATGATTCAAGTAGTACCTCGATCAAAATCTCGTGTAAGTGAAGGTAGTAGAGCAATGGAAGAAGGAGCGATAACTAACATAGCAGGCTTGTAACCCTTCGGTGATTGTTACCACAATCGCAAGAGTCTCATGAAGGGAGTGTGAGTGGAGAGAGACGCAGTTCCCAGAATAGGGAACGCTAAATAACATGTGTTCTCCACATAAAAAAGTACACAACAGTCCCAGAAGTTATGACATATAGATGAAGCGTTTTAATATGTTCGGTGGGTCGAACGAATGATAAACTAATTACACCTAGATGAACTCATATGTGGATGCTTATCATCAGTGAAGTTTGCCTTCCTGGGTTTTCACGGAGGGGAACGTCACGAAGCGTGATTGAGAAGGCGAACCAAGCAAGCTTTAGGGTTTAATGAGTTTATAGACCGATTGCGCATCCAGAGACCACGTTTTGCACTTCGCTGAGTGTCAGGACTTGATGGTTGAAGGGCGTCGAATTTCTATCGTGAGGGAATGACGAAATTAATCGCGTATCCGTCACTATTGCTCTTCTTCTGTGGGTATGTCCTCTTCGATTCTTGAGTTGTTTTCCGACTTTTTAGACTTTTCTGCATGTTTTTGCGTTAGATTGCATCCGAACAGTACTGTTTTCGCAATTTTCATTTTTTTTCGTTTTTTTCCCTTTCAAGTTTTTGTACTTATCTTGTAAGTCTACGTCCATCCCTGAATAGTTTCCGCATCACAAGTTGGCATTCGTGGGGACCATTGTTTTAGACGCAGAGATGTAATTTATTTTTATTTTTATGGTTATGGATGTAATCAGATATTTGCGTGACTTTGAAGCTGTGTTTTGCTAATTTTTGATTCAGCAAGTTTTAAGATTGAATCATTGATTATACTTCTATACACGTAAGGTTTGTATGTTTTCTCGGGTTTAAAAAATCTTGGTGTTGTCCTTTAACATCAAGTGTCATAATTTTGACTCGGGTCGTTCGCTTATCTTAGTCTGGTTTGGACTCTGCAGGCCATGACAGTCTGTGAACGATAATTCGTTACTTGGGCAGTGTGAGTTTGCTGTAATGAATCAGAGGTGAAGGCCAATCATAAGCTATTTTTTTGGATATTTATTAATATCATGTATAAGTGGCCTTGCATTGAAGTTTTCGAGAGGGATTAACGTTGAATCCGCAAAGAGAAATGGTAAGCGACACGCCAGAGGGCCGCAAGCTTGTGAGAGCGGACACGCCAGAGGAGAAGCTTCTTGGGGTTTGGATATGGGAGTATGTACTGAAGCACACCTCAGATGTGAGTTTTATAAGAGAATTAACAGAATCTCTACTTTTTCCCAAAGATGTTGCACGCTTGAAACAGATGATACTGATTAAAGAGCTCTCATTTCAAGTATCGAAGGATCTGGATGTTGAGAAGACTTTGGATATTCTTGAAGCTCTCTGTCATGCTTGTGAGGGAGAATGTTTGGACAAAGCGGGAGCAGAGCCAGAGAATGTGGTGCCGTCGAAGCGATTTAAAGCATCGAGTTCTGGAGCACCGAAAGTGAGAAACAATGCTGGCGAAGAGTTCGTGTTGCAAGGGATCCTGCAGCCTACATTTGAGCTCAAAGAAAAGTTGCAGAAGTTGCTCACGTCTTCAGTTGGTGAGCAAGTTGAAGCACAGAATGCGAAGGTCAAGGTCATTGAGAGCGAATTGTCAGCTTTGATAAAGAGCGCGTGGGCAGGTTTTGGGCCTGTATTTTTGGAGAAGACCGAAGCAGCTGTCATCAATGGACAATATAAGCCTGAAGGAGTCTCATTGCTCTTACCACCTGCTTCTGCTCAGAACATGCTTGGTACAGAGGGTAAAAATGGATCTAGCCCTGGAAATGAAGAATTTCCTGAAAATGCCAGACGAGTGCTAGATGAATGTGGTGTGGAATTACAAAAGGATGTTAGTGGGGGAAATGAAGACTTGCGTAGAGCACGACAAGAGTTAGCAAACAGCTGTGTGGAGCTTCAGAAGGTTGTGAAGGACCCGCTTCCTGCGCTTCTAAGAAATCGAGATGGTACTACAGAAGCATCAGAGACTGTTCTAGGTAAGACTGATGAGCCTGACATAAGACGCAGTTTATTCGAACCTCATCCATCGGCACGAGGAGAAGGCTGGGATGAAGAACCTGGTGACCTTCAAGGAAGTCCATCTCAACCGACTCCGTCTGCTTCACGACGAATCCAACTGCCACCCATTCACAGTCCTGAGCGACCGAATTTGCTTCCTCAAAGCACAATGGCAAGTGCGTTGCCACTTCCAAATATGTCGGGCATTAAGCCGAGACGGCAGAAGAGAAAGTGGACTGATGAGGAGGTTGAAACTCTGAAGAGGGAGGTTCGGAAGTTTGGAAAAGGTCGCTGGAAGTTTATTTTGGAAAGGAACCTAGATGTTTTTCATGAACGCACTGAAGTCGATATGAAGGACAAATGGCGGAATCTTGAGAAGTACAACGGTGTCTAGTTCGCACAGGTGCACATCTTGTAAATATGTACACTTTAGAATGTAGAAAAGCAAGTCATAGAGATTTCAAATGCTCTTTTCCCGACGTCCATCAGCGTGTTCAGAATTCCTCGTTTACCAAGTTTTTTCGATGTAATGCTCTCATTTAAACCACCAAAATCTGCTTGTTCTTCTGCTTCCAAGTAACTTGATTTATAAGCACTAACTACATATGTGCTCTAGTAATCCTCTGGGTCCCGAGTGCATGGCTAACTGTATCTTGTCGGTTTTGTAATCTTAACGTCGTACTATTACCTATGGATCCATCGCAGTCTCAGACAAATCCAGTACCTGTCTCTTGATGCACTGTAATGTATTGTGTGGAGCAGTTCTATGGCGCGCTGCGCTCAACAACCATACTAACACAAAGCTGAAACTGTATGTCAAGGACAGACGGACCGTGAACACTACCTTACCACAAAGTAGAACAGAGTGGTGCTGGAGTGAATGAAAAAAACGATAAAACAACACAAAAACACACACAATCTCTCAAGTACTTTCACGCTGGGTTTAGAAACCTATCAGAAGTGACGCCTCAAACCAGATGGTATGATTCAAACAGATTCAACAATGCGCCAAAAATTAAAGCCTTGAAGATACTGTTTCCACATCCTAGGACCAACACGCTTCGATACCAAGTGCTACAAAATAGCAACTCGAATTCTGATAAAATAAATCTAAAGCAAGAATAAATTGAAAACAATCCAAATCACAAAAAACAAATAAAGTGAATTATTTTATTAATCACAAAGTGTTATTATTACAATTAAGTATGAGACATATTTGACCAAAGCTCATATCTGATACAAACGCATCATACATGACCATAAATAAAAAGAAAAAACCACATTCGTCCTTCCTCGCCAAAAAGACTAGGCAGCAAAAAAACTGCTGAAGCAAACAAATCGTAACAACAACTACATAAAAAAAACAAAAGACTTGACCAACAAAAACAAATACGCTTAACCCAACAACCTGCAATAACACAACATTCTCCATTCACAATTCGACTAACAACCAACAAAAAAAAAAAAAAAAAAAAAAAAAAAAAACACCGAGTCAAAATTCAGAAGGTCAAATCTAAGACCACAAAATCAATCATAAAACCAAAGCCGAGCAACACGATGTGAAATATTCGGGTTTCCAAAAAAACTTCCACCTATTCGAAGGAAAAAAGACGAACATATAATCAGGATGCTTCGCAAACCAAGAGATGCCCACATCATTAGTAGACCTAGACGAAGTCAACACCTCGAATAGGAATCTGAAAAAGTGCGAAACACTACACTCAACAAAATTAAAGGCACACGCATTCACCCCAGCCGAGATAGGGGACTCACGGCAGAGGCGACCGGGTACTACCAGGCCGAAGCCAAAGAGGGGAGCGGATCTACGGACGTGGAGGGGGAAGAAGAAGAAGTAGCAGCGGAGGAGGGGTGGATGAGCGCCACCTCAGCAGAGGAGGGGGAACAGGGGGGACCAGGGCGACGGGTCTGTATCTCCAGTAGTGTAGTAGGAAATTTCTAAACGAGGCGGAGGAAGAGTTGGCAAGTAGGCAAGCCATAGCCAAAGCTTTCGTTCGCAGACCCCATTGCCCTGCCTGCACTCACTCTCAACCCACCCTTCCCTGCTCACACCCGGGCCTCCTCCCGTGCGCCGAGGCTTTTGCGTGTTCCTTGTTGCGACCTCTCGTTCTCCGTGTTTCGTTAGCAGCAGCAGCAGCAGTTATTGTGTCGGTCGTGATCCGGAGTCGGGGTTTCGCGGTGCGTTGCTCGTAGCGGCAGATCGGAGCGGGCTGAGGGCGGAAGGCAGCAGGTCGCGAGAGCGCCGATCCGGACGACACGATGAATCCCGAATAGTGAGTTGCTCGTTTTCCCTGGGCGCGTGTTTGTGCCTGCGTTTGTCTTGTACTTTGTCTCGTTTTGTGCTGTGATGTGCTGTGTGTTGTGTTTGTGTGTGTGCGCGCGTATTTATTTATTTATTTATTTCCTTTCTTTCTTTCTTTTTTTCTTTCTTTCTTTCTTCTTCTTCTTCTTTTTTCCCTTTCGGTCTGGGGGCGGTGCAGGTGGTATGGTTTTTCGATTGGATTTTTGTGGTAGTTCGGGGTGGGAGGGAGAGTGAGGTAGGGTTGGGGCGTGGTGCACGTGGTCGGAGCGGATCGTTGCCGAGTCGGGAAGTGTGCGGGCATAGAGAATTTTGGTTTGCCTTGGTGGCTCTCGTAGACCTGCAGATCAATGGGTGGTGTTGGCGGTGATGATGATGATGATGCATGGGAATCCGAAGGTCTGGACGGCCTTTGGTAGTGGTGCTGGGAAAGGGGATTTCGGGTCGGATTAGGGAGTGGAGTCGGTGCAGCATGTGAGGAGGTGGATGGTAGAGCTACTTGCGATTGAGCGGGGACATACGAGTGTGGAAACCGGAAGCGTGGATGTGGCACGCCACATGTTTGAGCGGGCAGAACGATGAAAGATGCATGCATGATGTGAGCATGACGGAGCAATCCTTTTGTACACTTTATCGAGTGATTTGTGTGACAGCGACGTGGTCGTTATCAACCTGTTGAAGTTCCTCCTGATAGTCCGTGTAACTGAGAGCAGAAAATTGTGAAGGTCTTCTGAAGCGTGTTTTGGCGTTAGGTTTTTACGTTGGCGTTTGCTTTGACCTCTGCTGCGTGCGACGTGAGGCAGCCTCAGTTGATCTTGAACACACACACACACACACACACACATATATATATATATATATATATATATATATATATATATACAT